CGTCTTCTGGACTCTCTGCGTGACAGTTTCCGGCGAGGAGTGGGTGTCCCTACAGGAGGTCCGGAAACCTCACCACTGTTTTCGCTGGAAGTATCTCTGAGCCATCCCCCCAGCTCCCTTTCCCTCAGTTCAGCTTCTCTCCCCCTGCTGGTTTCCTCTTCAGCTGCTGAGTCTCTTCCAACCTGTCTGAGCCCTTTCACCTCCCTCAGTTCAGCTTCTCTCCCTTGCTGGTTCCCTCTTCAGCTGCTGAGTCTCTTCCAACCTGTCTGAGTCCTTTCACCTCCCTTCCTTCCGATGGCAGTTCCCTGACATCCACCTCCCCCTCCAGGGCCCCCTTCACCCCCTCTCGCCCCCTCCTCTACGGGCGGTGAGGAGGCAAAACCCGGAATGAACTTCCTTCATCTTCCGATGTCTCGAACACTTCTCTCCACCTGTTGCGGTTCCTGGTCTCGAAGCACTCCTCCTCCTCCGAGTCCATCTCCCTTCCCCTTCCGATTCTGGGAATCCTTCCAACTCCTCCTCCTCCTCAGTGGTCCCAAAGTATTCCCTCCGGAACCTCTCCACAGGCTGAGGTTTCCTCGGGAACCTTTGATGGAACGTTTCTATCAATACCTCGTCATTGATATCTTCGGCCATTACCCACGTGTTTTCTGACTCCGGTTCTCCTTCCCACGCTACCAAATACTCCACCTGATTCCCCTTCCACCTGGCATCAAGGATTTCTGCCACATGACTGCTGCATTCTCTTTCTTCTATGACCGGTCCCGAGTGGCCATCCCTTCTCGTCCCCCCTCGTACGGTGACAGTAACGACCTGTGAAATACTGGGTGTAGTTTCATGTGGTTGGGTAACCGGAGCCTGAAAGCCACTGGGTTGACCTGTTGAATGACCTCAAAGGGACCCAACCTCCTGGGTCTTAATTTCTTACAACCTCCTTTGAACGGCACCCCTCGGGTTGACAGCCACACCCTATCTCCAACCCTTATGGTTTCACCTTCCCTTCGGTTCTTGTCTGCCTGCCTCTTGTATTCTTCCTTCGCCCTTTCTAAGTTGAGTTGGAGCTGACGGTGGATTGCTTCCATTTCTTCTACAAAATGCTCGGCTGCCGGTACGCTCCATCTCTCCCCTTCTCCCCCTGGGAAAGCCCTGGGATGACACCCATAATTAGCCAAGAAGGGGCTCATCCCTGTGGACACATTCTCGGCATTGTTGTAGGCAAATTCCGCCAGCGCCAACTTTTCTACCCAGTCATTCTCTCTGTCATTGACATAACACCTCAGGTATTGCTGGAGGACACCGTTTGCTCTTTCCGCCTGCCCGTTGGTTTCAGGGTGCCGGGCAGTCGAAAAGTTGACCTCCACCTGCAGTAAGCTCATGAGCTTCCTCCAGAACCTGGAAGTAAATTGTTTTCCTCGGTCTGAGACCACCCTCAATGGCACCCCGTGCAACCTAAAAATGTGTTCTACAAATAACTTCGCTGTCTCTTCCGCCGTGACTGCATGCGAGCAAGCTACAAAGTGGCACATCTTTGTTAGTAGGTCTACCACCACCATGATGGCTGTTTTCCCTTTGGACTTCGGCAGATCAGTCATAAAATCTATCGACACTGCCTCCCAAGGTCGTTCTGGTGTTGGTAAGGGTTCTAATAGCCCCGCCGGCGCCCGCCTTTCCCCTTTGGCTCGCTGGCACTGCTCGCACCCTCTTACATACTCACGTACATCCTCCCTCACCTTAGGCCACCAAAATTCCCTGGTGACCAACCACATGGTTTTGTGTTGCCCAAAATGCCCGCCGTGGGGCTGTCATGCAACTGCTTGAGTACCCTCCCCTTAAGTCTCCTTCAGGGATATACAGTGCCCCTTTGTAATACAAAGCTCCATTTCTTTCCTCGAAACCCCTTGATTCCTCTCCCTCATCCCTAAGACCTCTGAGCTTATTCTGGGCGTATTCATCATTCTCTGTTTCTTCTACCAGTTCTCTTTGTCCCACCAATGCCGCCCACACACCCAGCGGTCCTCTGGAATGACATGTCTCTCTTCGGGTGCTCCTCCCCTCCAAATATTCAGGTTTGCGTGAGAGAGCGTCCGCCCTAATGTTCTCTGGGCCTGGCACGTAACAAATCTCAAAGTTAAATTTGGAGAATTCCTGGGCCCACCTCACTTGCCGTTGGTTGAGCACTCGTGCCGTCCTCCAATACTCTAGGTTCTTGTGGTCAGTGCACACTTGCACCTTATGTTGTGCGCCAATTAGCAGGTGCCTCCATCTCCGGAACGCCTCATGAATGGCTAGTAGTTCTCGGTCATACACCGTGTAGTTCCTCTCGGATTTGTTCAGCTTTCGCGAAAAAAAGCACACGGTCTCCACTCTGACTCCTCCTTCCCTGGCTGGAGAAGCACCGCCCCAACCGCTCTGTCTGATGCGTCAGTTTCCACTCTCATCGGTTTTTGTAAATCCACATGCAGGAGCTGTTGTTCCGAGGCGAAGGCCCTTTTAGTTCCTCAAATGCTTGCTCCGCCTCCTCCGTCCAAACGAACTTCTTCTTACTGCTGAGACAGTCCGTAATGGGCGCCGTCAGGTGGGCAAAGTTTGGGATGAACTTACGATAGAAGTTCCCAAATCCTAAAAACCTCTGCACATCCTTCCTTGTTTTGGGTGTTTTCCATTCCAGTACCGCCTGGACCTTGCCGGGATCCATGGCCAACCCCTTGTCAGACAGGCGATACCCCAGGAATTCCACCTCCTTGGTATGAAACTGACACTTCTCCAGTTTCACCCACAGCTGGTTGGCTTGCAGCCTGCTCAACACTTCTCTGACGTCTCTCACATGCTGCTCCTCATTCTCAGAATACACCAACACGTCGTCTAAGAAGGCCACACAATTCTTGTAAAGCAACGGCCCCAGGACGTGGTTCATAAACGATTGAAATGTTGCGGAGCCTGCTTGTAGACCGAAGGGCATAACTAAGTATTCAAATGCCCCTAAAGGGGTGAACATGGTGGTTTTCCATTCATCCCCCTTCCTTATTCGTATCAGGTTGTACGCCCCCCTTAGATCCAGCTTGGTGAAAATCTTTCCCTTCCGCACCCTTGTCAAAATGTCGTCAATCCTGGGCATCGGGAAGGCCACTGGTTCTGACACTGCATTTAAGGCCCTGAAGTCACACACCAGTCTCGGCTTGTTCGTGTTTTTGTCCACAAAAACACTGGGCTGCCCCCACCGCCCTGGACTCTCTGATGAACCCTCTCTTCAGGTTCTTGTCAATGAACTCTCTTAGCTCCTGCATCTCTCTGTCTGACATGGCGTACAGCTTGCCCACAGGGAGCTGTGCCCCAGGGAGCAAATTGATTTGACAGTCAAAGGCTCTATGCGGTGGTAGTTGGTCAGCTTCCCTTTCGCTGAAGACGTCGCGGAGATCTGCGTATTGTCGTGGTACCTTCACGTTCTCCGTTACTTCAGTCCCTGCTAGGGTGGCTTGGGCCCCTGCCAAAACCTTTCCCTCTTTGCAGTGTTCTAAGCAATGTGCTGACCCAAAAGAAACCACTCTTTGATGCCAGCCCACCAGCGGATCATGTAACGCTAGCCAGCTCATCCCCAATATAATGGGAGCTCCTCCCAAGGTGGCCACATTAAACGCTATTAGTTCGGTGTGCCTTGCCACCTTCATTATCATTGGGACGGTCTGCAAGCTGACTTCTCCTCCCAACAGCTCCCTGCCATCGATCGTGGTTACCTGCAGGGGGTTGCTTAAAGGGAGCGTCTGTATCTGGTGTTCAGCTGCAAACTCTTTGCTCATGAAATTGCAGGAGCTGCCTGAGTCCAACAGCGCCTTTATCTTTAGAGGGTGTCCGTTTGGCAGCTCTAGTGTCACTTCTATCACTAGGGCGGGTTTAGGAGGTTCTGGCGTGGGCACTTTCACTGCTCTTTGGCCTGGCTGCTGTGCCCCGACAATGGCAGCCAGGCGTTGGCTTTTAGTTGCTCCGGTATTTTTCCTCTCTTCCCTCCACAGCTCCCACCATCCCTTGCCATTCCTTCCTCTGGGGGCAGACTCTGGCAAAGTGCCCTGGCTGTTGGCAGAGATAGCATTTCCGGGCGCCTTTTCCCTCCTTTTTTCCCCCTTCACTGGGCTTTGAAACTGCGCGCGCGCGCGCTGTTCCGATTTCCATCGGCTCTGCCGGCGGGAAAGTTGGCTCTGGAATGTCTGGAATGCGGAACTCCTTCCAACGTTCCCCTTTCCCTTCCCGCCTCTCCAATGCTCTCGCCTCCTGGCGCGCTCCTATGGCCAGCGCTGATTTGGTCAGCTGGTCCATAGACTCCGCCCCTGGGCGCCCGGGAAAGTTCATCTTTCACAGCCGAAGAAAGCCCTTCTTCAAAGAGCATTTGAATGGGTTCCGCCGATAAGTCCCACCCCAATCTGTGTATCAGCATGGTGAACTCAGTCCAGTACTCACGTACAGATCGGCTCCCCTGTTTGCAAGCCATTAACTGTCTGCGCACCACTCCCTTTTCAATATCGCTGGAAAACATCAGATCCATGGCGCGAAAGAACTTCATCGTGTCCTTTAGGACGTCACTATGCGCTGCCATCAGGGGTCTAACCCAGTCTCTCGCCCCCTTTTCAAGATGCCCAATCACAAAAGCCACTCGTGATTCCTCATCAGGGAAATCATCAAACTGCAGATTGAGGGCATATTGCATTTCTGTCCGAAAGCTATGATAGTCTTTGGGCTCCCCCCCAAATTTCTGCACCAATCCTGGTACCTTTCTGGCGAGCTGGGTGGCTTTCTCCCTTTGTCTGCATCTTGAGCCCTCCTCTCCTCCAGCCTCGCCGTCTGCAGCGCCAGCTGGACCTCCAACACCCGGTACCTTTCTTCCAGGCTTGGACCCGCTCCAGCCCCTGCTTCTCCGGTTCCTGCTGGGTTGCTCATTATGCCTTCTCCTGCACAAGCTGCGTTCAAAGACTGTCGGAATGCTGTGATGGGAAGATGAGCTGCTTGTGCGTAAAATCGTATTCCCTCAGAGTTTGTTCAAGTCCACAAACCTCTGTCTGTGACTGAGCCCCTCTGACATGGCTCCTCTAGTCACTAGAAGATTCCGACAGTGGTTGCTTTCGTAATCGCTTCCAACATAAAAGCTCCTTAACGGAAACACGTCTTCTGGACTCTCTGCGTGACAGTTTCCGGCGAGGAGTGGGTGTCCCTACAGGAGGTCCGGAAACCTCACCACTGTTTTCGCTGGAAGTATCTCTGAGCCATCCCCCCAGCTCCCTTTCCCTCAGTTCAGCTTCTCTCCCCCTGCTGGTTTCCTCTTCAGCTGCTGAGTCTCTTCCAACCTGTCTGAGCCCTTTCACCTCCCTCAGTTCAGCTTCTCTCCCCTTGCTGGTTCCCTCTTCAGCTGCTGAGTCTCTTCCAACCTGTCTGAGTCCTTTCACCTCCCTTCCTTCCGATGGCAGTTCCCTGACAACAGGCTAATCAAATTAATCAAACTCAGCTTAAGTAAGTAGAATTAAGTTGCAAAGGTCTGCAGGACTGAGGTCAGCATAAAATGGAAGGGGAATTAGCAAAGACTATATAACCACAAAAATCTGGACATTGCATGTTGCCCAATAGTCTTACAAACTCTTACATGTGTGGTATGCTGGCTTAAGGGAAACTGAGGCACACTTCAGAAAACAGATTTCTGTTCAGCAAAATGCCAGCTCTGACATTTCACCAAGATTCAGTTGTTGGTTTCAAACATTAGAAATCTAGTATTCCAGGGATTTTACTTCTCCTGTAGCTTCTGCCATCTTTAAAAACTGCAAGAAATAACAGTTTAGATGGCTAATGGAATACACATACAATTAGAATGTAAAATTTTCTGACAAACTCTATACAACTGAGCATAAGAATATTGACTTTCCCCAAAAGGCCTTCAAGCCTAATTCATCCAGCCCTTGGAAAACTAGCTATTGACAAAGCTGGGGGGAAACCACGTATTACGTACCACGTCTGAAAATTCCAACATATTACAGTTGCCGGTGTGGCAGTCTACATGATTGGTCAAATAGCAGTGCAATCACAAAAATTCACAACAGCATCAGAGCAAAATTTCAGAGGTCTGGGCTTTCCCAAAGTGTGCCTAGACAAAACAATGGTGGGAAGTGTCTGAGGGAATTTCTGTGCAGTTATTTATCAGTGCCGTTTACAACCGTTCACTGACTTGTGTGCAGTGATACCGTCACAAGGAGAACAAAGCAGTACCAGCAAACAGTGTTCAACAATAGCCTGATTTTAATAAATAGCGAAGTTGTGCAAATGCAACAGAGAAAGGTCGTCTGCATTTTTGTCACTTCAGACAGAACAAACGTATATCAAGTGGAGAACATGCTTCTTCGCTTGAGAGTGGAAAGTAACATTCTCTCATAGATAATCCCTGGATTACTGTTAACAAGGGATATAGGAAAGCTCTTTCGATAGACCAAGATTCAACATGCTCAGAAATAGTGCAAAATGGAGCAAACATTGAAGAGAGTTCATTCTTAAAAAGGGGGATACCAGGTAATTTCTTTCGCACATGTCCTACTGACAAAAACAGGCTTGTGTAGGAACACTGTGCTCCTATGTCAACTCTCCATTTTGCTCCCCTTTAGATTCCCTAATGAAAAGCAATACACAGGGAATGTTTTTGTAATATACACCAGAAAACATCATATGCTGCTTAACAGCCTCATATGGCAGGGCAAAGGCACATCCATGAACAGCAGAAAATGCAGCCTTTCCAATTTCATGGCTTGCTTAAAATACTAGGCTTGTAATGGAGGCAGTATCATGGTTAAGATTACTTTAATATACAGTATTAAAGGAGCAGCTATAAAATTTTACTGCAAATCAAATACAGTTCCATGAGCAAAATGACACACAAAAATTATTTTATGAGCAACAATTAAAGAATTTATAAATAGCAAAATCTTTGCATAAAGTATTTACATTTTAAAGATTTCTCTATAAACATATGTATATATATAGTGCACCTAGGAGAGACAAGTTTAACCGTGTTCTACAACACAATGGTTTTTTAACATTAAACATTAGGTTAACTGACATTACACTAAATGCCTTTCGCTCGCTCTCAATTTATGTACATTCTATAAAAACACTTACAAAGCTGTCATTTTACATTATTTGCACTCTCAAAATACATCTTTACATGTTACATTTTAATGGCCCGCAAAACAATGAATGGAAAGCAGGCGTTTCATGCTTTATCCTATTATAATAAAAGCTATTACATGGTTTTTAACTGTTTGCATATGGAGAGTGTGCGCTCTAATAAGATATAGATACATACATACATATATATATAAACATACACACATACACATAACTGAACAGCAACCTAGCCAAGACAACCCCCAATGGATTCTAAAAATGCCTTTGGCATTCAGGTGTAAAACTATTTTGCACATTTGGGGTTTAAAAAAATATACCGTAGTTCTGTAAAATACTAGGACTATTATACTGTAACAAATTTGGTACGTGATCCTGCACAGTCTTAAGTATCACCCGGCAAGATACAGGATGCACTCAATTCCCACTTGCTAAGGGCCAGTTGATCCAAACCTCTCAATGTAGTACAGCGTGGGTACCAATGACATGGCAAGCACTGCATTTATGGATGGAAACAATGATCGCTATGACACGATCATAACTGGAGAACACCTTCCACAAGGGATCTAATCACATGGAGTTCTGGTGGTCTACAGACTTTTAAACACACAACAGGCAACTGGGCAATCGCTTTCATGTTGCCTTACAACACTGCAATACATCTTAAAAAAACAGATGTAAAAATGGTATGATGAAGCATTCTCTGGACACAGCCTGAAGCAATCTGATGACTATTTAGCCACAGATTAAATGGTTTATTATGTATCCAACACCATCCTCCCATCTTAAGAGTGTCAAGTGAATCAGTTCCTATAGCAAAGGATTTAAATCAAAAATTTGAATCGCCCCTCTTAGCAACTCTCATATAAAACCATGCCTACAGAGAATGTTTTGTAAACTTTTTGGACTGCATTAGAGGCACATTTTCATTCCAATGCACAGCAACCTTTACAGTTATCCATGTGGACGGGATATATGTGGAAATAGGTTGTTAAAGGATCTAAGGCATGATGTACTCCCATTCTGTGGATGAGCCACATTGTCAAAAGTGTAACAGTACTATTAGCCTGTAGGGCACAGAGCTCCTTTAGACAGCCCAGGGTCACATAGATGGCACTGTGTGGCAACTGTAAAAAATACTATGCAGTGGAAAGAATGGTCATCTAACTCCATCCTAATTCAGTTCACACAGAATGGTAGCCACCCAATGATACAATTCTGTAAGTTGAGCATGCTACACTTAAGGGCAGACATAATTCCAAGAGGCCAATTTTACACTTATTTTGCATTTTAAAATTAACAGTATTCTGTTTAATACCTTTGGAGAATACTTCACATCCAGCATTGATTGGCAAGAGAGTTTAAAGGAATATATTTATATATATATGCTGCATTAAATAATGCTGAAAAACATCTCAGGAACAGATCACTAGGATCTATTTCAGAGATTTAACGTCACAATAAATATTTAGCAGCTAAAATGTTTTGTATGTGTATGTTTTAAACCAAACTTATTTTTGTATATTGTGAAAATCTGAAATGAACTGACTTTGCTGTTTACCTTTTTACAATACACATTTTAAAAGCAACTAGGTAGGTCAGGAATATACCTCTGAGAAATCATGTCTCCCTTATATATGGTCATTAAAATCTATTCCTCTATCAAATGAATGCCAATTTTCTGCTTCTGCTATTAGTCAGAGGATCCAAGTGTCAAAGTTCTTTTGCTTTAGTCTATCCCTTTTATCATAAACAAGATCCAAAGTTAAATTCAAGAAAAGCCTTTGGAAACAACGTGCTTTGGTGCTTATAATTCAAGGGAAATTCATCTGACATGCAACTTCTTAGAAAAATGGGAAATTTTACACATTTAGATACGCTCATAATGAAGCCCTGAGGTAACCAACAGAACAGCTTTTTTCCAGGCAACAGCAACACAGCTTCTCTTTATCCCTTTAATCGTCCTTTATAATTTTATGTGGAATTTTGAATGCAGAACGGTCTACACAACCTGTCTTGAGGAAGAGACCAGTCCCACTGATGAGTTAGGGGTGGTTTTAGGCTAAGCTTTCAGCAGATTGGTCTAGTTTAGATATAGTCTCTTCTGTTTCAACTGAATTTCCTAGGTCTCCATTTTCATGGCCATCAATACTTGCTTTCTTATCAAACACTGCAAAAGAGAGAAAAGAATGTTTGTAACATTTTATAGTACAGCATCCTAAAATTTACAAACTGACCCACCCAACAATTTTTGCTGATAAGGAGAAAACATGCACCAATGCTGCACAGGTAGGCAGAAATTCCAAGACTTCTAGAAATGGACTGTATATAAAACAAGTTAAGAAGAATAGGGACTACTGCAGGCCAAACCACCTTTTCCCCATCTACATGTGCTATTGCAGAGGGTTAGGAATTAATAAGGCTCTCCACTTCCCCTCTAACAAGACCTTCCAACTAGTACAGAAACACCACACAAAACAGAAAATTCCAGTAACCAGCAAAACAAGGAAGTGCCTACACAATGCAGAGGCACCCCCAAGTTAAGGGTGGGGATTTGGCAAATCCAGATTTTGAAAATTGTACTGCATTAATCTTTGACCATATGAAATCTTTAAATCACATCACAAAAATAGTCACCAAGAAAGAGGAAAGGAAGAATATACCTACAATTTCAAATCAAGAGTCTGCTTTATGGGAATATAGGGAAATATGGCAATATTCTGACAAAAATAGCAAAGGAAAACGATGAGCTGCCATTCTGCCCAAGCGTTATATTTGCCAAGAACATATACGGTTTAACCTTGCATGTTGTGACACAACTGCATATCTGTCATCCCAATCTAAGGACAGATCATCCGAAGCATAGCCAAACAATTGAATATAAATTTACAAAATCAAGTTTTACTTGAAATGTTGTACCTTAGTTATTAAAAAAAAACCAACCCAGAACATTTACCTTGCAATTGTTTGACATCTCCACATCCAGATTTTCTATTAGAAGCAGAGTTTCCACCTTCCTCCAATTCGTCAAGATACAGACGATAACGATGTCCACTCTCATCCTCATATTCTACATTTTCATCATCTGAGTCCACTTCTGGAGCAACGTACACAACTTCAAACTCAATTTCCCCTCTCTAGAATACAGAAATGAAGATTATGTTGCTTCTAAGAATGGGCAGTCCATTCAGAACACTTAAAATATGAAAACTCAGAACTATAGCTATACAACAGAATAGTAAAAAAAAAATCCTAATATAAAAGAAAAGCCAGATCAAGTCTTGCAATACATGCCTGCAGAGTATAGTCATCCAGATAATCCTTGCTGAAATAAGAACGTTTGGAAGGACTTTCTGGACACTCTGAAGCAAGGCCCAAAATGAATGGACTACTGCTCAACTTTAGTTTAATTCTGGATGTGACTTACATGTATGGAAACTGGGTTTGTTTGTTTTTTGAAAATGGCAATACAGACAATTTTAAGAGTCTCCAAAACATTCATCTGGTGAAACTTGCACTTTCAGTAATTGCAGAAGAAAACTTCACACAGAATGTTTGCCCTACCAGTGGTGGACCTCGGGTCTCAAATTTAAGTGGTGCCCTGTGTGACGCCCAAATTTGGTGCTCCCCACACCCCTTCTCATGTTCCATTCTAAATCTTAGTTGTGGCAACCCCTGCAGTGCCCAGTGCAACTGAACCGGTCATGCTCCCCTAAATCTGCCCCAGGCCCTATCTTAGAAACATAGGAAGCTGCCTTACACCAAGTCAAACTACTGGTCCATCTAGCTCAGCCTTGTCTACACTGAATGGCAGGGGCTCTCCAGGGTTTCAGAGAAGGAATCTTTCCGAACCTTGTCCGGAGATGCCAAGGACTGAACCTAGGACCTTCTGTCCTTTGCATGCAAAGTATGTGGCTCCACTACTGAGCATCTGTATGCTGCCCAGTAATTAATAAACCCTTCCTCTTAGTGCTTGTGTTCAGACACACACAGTCATAGAGCTGAAATGGAGAAATGTCAGGAGGCCCTGCCCCAAATTATTGGCCAAACCCCACTAAATGTATATATGCATATTAACAGTTCAGTATTCATTATATAAAAATAAAATACCTGCTGCGAAAGAATAGTTACAGCTTCTTTATGTTTGGCATCTCTCAAATTTACACCATTTACTGCCAAAATGGCATCTCCAACATGCAGACCTCCACATCGATCAGCAGGCTGACCTGGGTGAATTTCAGAGATGAGGATGGGAACACCATGCTCCTTTCCACCCTATCACAATGACATAACACAAGTCAGGAGATTGCCACAATTTCAAAATGAATTATAGCCTGTGTATGTTCTTCACTGTAGATTTCAAAAGTGTTGAATTCATGCTGCTCTTCAACAAATAAGTATTTGCTGCTCTGCGTATTTGATGTATAGCACAGTTTATAATGCATTTGTAGCAGAGATTTCACAAAAGCATAATGAAAAATTTAAGTTCTTTCAGTTGCATTTATAAGAGAGTTACAAAAGCAAGCATTTGATATAGGTAACATGGGCCAGTGTGACACACAGGAAATATAAAATAAAATGTTAAGTATCTTGTTAGTAAACACTGAATCCTAGAAAAAGAAAATAAATTCAAATATTACGGTAATTGAAATGCCCAGTCCTTCGTGATCTTCTTTAACCAATAGAACTTTCCTTATGGGACCAACACCTTGACTCTTCTTTAAAGAATCTGGATCCTAGTTTAAAAAAAAAAAACCAGCTATGACAATGCTTTTTCAAAGTTTTCCAGAGATTCACAGGACACTACTATCACTACAGACAAAATAATCTCTAAATTCAGAATGCTATAGACATTGCTGCTATAAGAAAATCACCTTTCTAAAGATTACTTTAGAAAGGAAAACACATGCACCTCAGCCCTATCCAAGTTCCAAGTTGATGTGGCACAAGCAAAGGTTTTTCCTACACTGGCTTCAAGATAAGCAGAATTAAACAAATTTTGGGCACTAAAAAGCAGTTAGAGAAAACCCTTGTTCTGGAAGTCACAGCGATGTTCCAGAAGTTGATGGATACAAACTTCCATTTTGATGGGGTTTAAGAGGCTGGAAGAAGTCCCACCACCCTCACTTCCCCTTTCCACAGTACCAGAGCAACAGGCCTTATAACTTCCAGCACCACAAGTGTTTTTTAACTGAAAGTTTTTTAGGTTGTTTTGGGGGCCCAGTTTAGGGCCTGAAAGGTTGTAAACAAAAAAGCAATGCATTCCTTTGTGCCAGCACTATAAACCCCATGTGTTTCACCACCTCTGAGCAACAAGTTGTATGTTCAAGAGCTTGGGAGACTCAGTATGCAGTGCAGAAGATAGGCTGAGACAGGAAGGACCAAAGTTCAAATCACCACTCAGTCATGAAGCTCACATGCTTATTATATTCCAGACACTAAATCTCAGCCCAGCCTACTTACAGGGTTATTGCAAAGATCAAATGGACTATCCTGAGCTCCAGAATTTAAAAGCAGAATGCCTAATAAGATTCTCACATCTATAAATTAAGGGTGATGTGGATGTAAATGCTGTGAATCCTTTCAATATTGAATACCTTTTTTTAATTTACAGCACAATCTTAACTGTGTTTACTCAGAGATAAGTCCTACTGACTTCAAGAAGGATTACTCTCAGGTAAGTAATGACTGCAGCCTATGTCACTAACTAGGATTCACTTATTCCAAATCCCAATACAGAATATCATAATTATTCCTCAAGTTTCATATACAGTTGTACCTTGGAAGTCAAATGGGATCCTTTCCAGAAATTCGTTCAACTTCCAAAATATTTGAAAACCAAATCGCAGCTTCTGAAGCTGCAAGCCCCATTGGACGTTCGGGTTCCAAAAGAATGTTTGCAAACCGGGTTCGCGGCATTCAAGAGCCAAAACATCTTGAGTTCCAGGGTGTTCGACAACCAAGGTACGACAGTATGTACAATTTCAACATTTCTTCCCCTTGACTATTGAGGTGAGTTAGTAAAAAAAAGGAAAAATGCAGTCTTTACACACACTGTGATAAAATAGTGTTGTGCAGTGGTGCCTCAGGTTACGTACGCTTCAGGTTACATACGCTTCAGGTTACAGACTCCGCTAACTCAGAAATAGTGCTTCAGGTTAAGAACTTTGTTTCAGGGTGAGAACAGAAATCGTGCTCCGGCGGCGCAGCGGCAGCAGCAGGAGGCCCCATTAGATAAGTGGTGCTTCAGGTTAAGAACAGTTTCAGGTTAAGAACAGACCTCTGGAATGAATTAAGTACTTAACCCGAGGTACCACTGTAATTTAATCTACAAAAAATGAAATTCCTTTTTTCTGCCCCATTGATCTGAGCCATAATAAGAATTTCAGTTTTGAATGGCAACAGATATATTAATATATCCAATGTCGGCATACATTTAAAGGTACAAACATTATATTGACAAATGTTGAAAACAAGAAGCTTACATGTCCTGGGGGTACTTGCATGGGTCGCTTTAGATCATTACGACCACGACATGCCCTGATCACAGTTTTATGCCGGTGCAGATGGATTTCAGCTTCCAGCTGGTTCCAGAGTTTATCATGAGCAGGTCCTTTCATATCTCTGCCTAGTAACTGAATTTGCTGAACCCTACATAATGAGAAAAGAACATGATATGTATGAAGTGAGAGGTTCAAACGACTCTTTGATTTGCTCTCCCAGTGCCATGTTCTCAAGTCCAATAAAGAGGTAATCAAATGGCTTACAGTCACTACAATAATAGGGAAAGAAAGTGGGGAGGGTGCCATACCATACCCTTCCACAACCAAGCTTAAGGCTGCTTCCACATTTGGCATTTACTGTGGAATAGACATGCTTTGTTCACTCACTTTTTAAGGAGTATTTGCATAATGTCATGAGTAAAACATCCCCCTCACATTTTACCTGTTCAGCTACAGACTTTTTCCAGAGCTAAAAAATCACTCTATGGCTGAGCTGTGCAATTTTCCCAGGTACAGATGGCCTAACTGCCACTCTGGCCAGTTAAACTGTTCTTCCTTCTATGTGATCCATTTTTCTTCTCCAGGAATCAAGTCAATCACTTAAAACCTTGGTTCAGATAGCACTGTCTCTATATCTGTTTCTTTCCCCCTTCCCCCTGTATTCATGGTCAGGAGTGCAGTGAGGAGGGAGTATTTAAACCACACACACAGGTCCCAATGAAAATAACCCCCTTCCAATGTTTCAAGCTCAGGAAAGGGGAATTGTCCACTTTACTACATAAAGTTAGAATCTGGGAAGCAGAATTGCTATTCCACTTCCAGCCTGAAGCAGAACTAGAATGATTGCAGAATGCTAAATTGCCCATGTTTGGAAGAATCCCAAGTCTGACCTTGTGAATCCAGGTCCTTATTTCTCCCACTACAGATAGTTTTTATAGCAGTTCAGCACTATCCTGATAAGCTCTTATATTCTACTCTTCCACATCCCCCATATGGTCCAAACAAATACCCTGAGATCAGGCCTGTCAACTCCTAAACAACAATTCTGTCCCAAATGTCCATCGCAAGCTACTGAATTTTTACACACCTTCCAGCTAGCTCTTTATCTAAATATTTGGCTGCGAGTCTTGCCCCATATACTTCAGCCTGGAGCACAGCTATGTGTCGACGAAGTGCCTCATTTTCCTTCCGAAGTAGCTTCACTTCAGCTTCAAGTTGAGCTTCTTTCACCTTTTCTTTCTTGTTGGCTTCAAGTTCTCTCTCCTGGCGAAGTAAAGACCCTGGTTATTTTAGCCACAAGCTAAACATTCCTATTAAGTGGATATGAAAACTGCAAGCATCTTTAGTCTAACCTTTAATTTCACAGAAAAAACCATGACACACAACATTTAGATACAATCTGCGTGTACACATTTACAACGGTTTTTACAAGTGAGTAGAAAAATGTTCATGCCACAAAGCATTTTACAAATCTTAATGTTTTACATATCTAACTGCATCACAAGGCAATTTGAGGGACAAGTCTGGAAAGCTACATTTGTTCAAGAAGAACTAACTACAATTGAGCTATCATAATGTGAAACTGTTTTTATGACACAGCAGCTAATTTAGGATAATACAGCATGGCACTGCTTATTAAAATAATTGCAAATATGAAGAAGAAAGGCAACTAGTTGGCTAAAATTATGTATATTTTAGACACATAGCAAGCATGTTAAATGAACTGATGAAAATAAAATAAGCTTCTTTAAAAATAAAGTGGTTTTTTAAACACACAAACATAATACCCAGCATTTCTGTTCCAAGGCATATTTAATTGCCAGGGAACAACACAGAGATAAGACTTAAGGAACTGGGGCTTTTTATTTAGGAAAAAAGGTAGGGAAGGGGACAAAGAATGAGAAAACTTTAATAAATATGAATAGTGTAGTAGAGAAAGTAAAGAGAGAATGTATTCCCTCTCTATCCTCCCCATTCCTAATGGACAGAGTGGATATCACCCATTGTTTACACTACAGAAAGGTACAGGAATGGAGAAATGAAGTTTTCCTGATTAAAATTGAAATACACTAGAAAAACCACACTGAATCTCACAATTTCTTGTCTATATTCCAATAGGATTTATAAAGGTTTCTAAGTATCTATAAGTTTTAAAAATTGCAAGTTAAGTTCATGAACTACTTTCATTTTTAATTTCTGCACATATATTATGGCAGCCTGGGCAAAAATATACCATCGTGCCATTGGCTTTTGGAATGCAACCACTGAAGGGTAGGTAGGAATATAATGCTACATAAATATACCATCATGTGACTTTTTTAAAAAAAAACCATGCTGTTTTACATATAGGTATTCTTAAAATACTGTGGATTCTGGACAAAAAAACAGACAAACATTTTAGGTTTCACTGCACTTTGTGTGACGTTTTGGTTCTTGAACAGCTGACTGCCATGCCATATCACAGCTGATTTTGTTCAAAGCCTGAGTGCATCACAGAGTTAGTCGCTTGGATCTCTGGATTGCGATCAAAGTCAATCTTTAATAACCTGCTACATTTAGACTCAATTCCAAGCTTTGCTCCAAAATTCCCACATTAGTCATAGCAATCAACAGCAGCAATACAGACATGCACGTTGAGTGGAAAAGAGCATCAAATCTAAAAAGAATACTGAACATAAACAGGGACTTGGCTAAGAAACTGTGGAAAGGAAAGAATCTAGCAGACATTCACTGGCACTAACTCTCCAGGCTAATATGCGCAGCTCTGCAGAAAACTACTGCACTGCTTTGAATTAAACACAGATGAAGACAGCCAGTGAACTTACCATATCCTCCACAGAAGGGGCAGACTTAGGATGAGAGAAAAAAAGTTTAGTAATTAGAAATACTGGCCAAAAAAAAAATTATCAAAATTATAAGGCCATACATCGACAAGATTCTCAATCTAAGCAGTAATCAAATTGTATGATCCATGGTTACAAAGAAGACAGTTACTATAAATACTTGCTCATTGAAAATGGAATTTCTCTCACACTGTGAAATGGGGAAATGTCTCCAAATAAATAGAAGCTGTGATTTTACTAGCAAATAATCGAAGCCTGCACTGCAACAAGCATTTTTTTTTTAAAAAAGAGATGTGAATACTGGTGGAGCAAATTTTAAAAGAAGACTGGTCTGGATATAATCTTTTTTCAGTTCCTCTTCCTTCTTTTTCAAGGGCACAGTCATCATCTGATATGGTTTGAACTAGCAGGAACTGAAAAACAAGTATGCCTTTCCAGCTAACAAGGAGCAGCAGATTTTGTACGTTATCACACCTTTTACATAAACTAAGCATTTCCTACAATACCCTCAAAAAGTTACTTATATTTGTTTCTTGGCAAAATGAAGATTTATACTTTTGATTGACCATCTGATTTTAAATCAAATAATCAATCACTTCAAATGTATGTCTGGAATTCAGATTGCTACTCAGGTTCATTGATAAGACCTGTACTAGCCCACTTGAACTTTTGATTTCTTTAGCCAACCACTGTGTGGGAAAAGGATGTTGGACCAGATAGGCTTTTGGTCTGATTCAGCAGGGCTCTAATGTCCTTATGGTGCTTTTGAAACTCCCCTTGGTTTCAAATTGTAAATTGCTAGGTATACATGTGTTCCTATAAAGGAGAGGGGGCTTTGGGCTCACAAAACTTATTTCACAGTTCTTAATTCTAAGTGTATGTGAATAAAAGGCTAACATACAGTAGCCCAAAATTTGTTGACTCTAGCCATGAATAAAATCTCATGCAGCCCCTAGCACACTGGAATTTGACTGACTAGATAGTTCATGAAATACATGACGTGCTACTATAACTGGACAAGCACTTAGAAAGCTCTTATCCAAATGTGTGCTGCTTGCATGCCTCAGTTCCATAATACTGAATTCAATCCACAAAAATAGGAGATGCAAAAATCCTCCTCTAAAAACTTCTATGACAGTGGAATCCTCTACATCAGGGGTGGGGAATCTTTTTGGCCCAGTGGGCCAGTTCTCTATCTCCTCCACCCCAATGGGGTGGTCAGAGCTACTCATTAGTCATCAACTGACATCATAATGACATCAGTTGATCGATACCTGTCAAAGCTCAGCACTTCCCCAACACCTGGCTATCAGCTGGTTGCCTTGTGCTAGGGAAGCGCTGAGAACAGGTCTTGGAAAAAGATTTGCACAGCACTTCCCAAATTCCCAAAATGATTGTTGGGCCTTTGGGAAGTGATGCACGAAGCGCTTTGTAATCCCTGTTCTCAGCACTTCTCGGGCACTTTGTGCAGTGCTTCGGAAGGATCCAACAACCAGCAGCTTGTCAGACACTTGCATAACAGTCCCTGCAAAGCCCCTTTTGGTCAAGCACCACCTTTATGTGTTCCACATGTGATTTCATATGTGATGCCCAGTGTAGGGAAGATGGCTTGGCAGGTCAACTGGATAGTCTTGGCAGGCCAAATTGGGCTGATGGGGGGGGGGGGTTCCACTTCATTTTACATCTCTAGCTAATAGATTTAACAGTCTCTTAGGTAGCAAGCCTAACCATGGCAAGTGACATTCAGATAAACTAGATAAACTGCTTCCTAGATAATACAGAAAGACAGAAGATGAATTCTATAAGCACACATGCATACAAATAAAATACCGCATTTATTCTAATCTAATGCTCACCTTTTTTGGCCAAATTACATTGGGAAAATTCGATTCAATGGCACATTTACATTCACCAGCAAATACTTTTTTTGGTTTAAAGGTTCTGAAAATTGAGGTGTACATTAGATTTGATAGCGCATTAGACTCGAGTAAATAAAGTAGTTTGGAGTAACAACTCTGCTGTAAAAAATAGGTCCTTCCTGTTACTAGTACTCACCAACTTTGCTTTTATTGTCCCCGAATCAACACTCTGACCAGTTTTTGCATGGAGTTGAAGTTGGATGGCATGAAGTTGTAATAGTTGATCATGCACCTCTTTTTCTAATACTGCTTTTTCAGCCCGTGTTTCTGTCAGTTCTGATTTCATGTCCACTAGCTGTGCCTGGAACATAAGTTATCCAATAATCCACATGATTAAAAAGTCTATAGAAAAAGATATTTTGACTCTGGATGTTTTCTGTCCTTCAAATTAGTGTAAATCACCAGCTTTTAAACCAAACAAATAACACAGGTTTATTTACATAGTCACAAAACCGCTTAAGAAGAAGTTTTTTTCAATCTGTGCAAGCTTGAATCCTAAACACAGATTGAATCAGACTGATTGATCAATAATGGGAACAGAATATTATGGAATAAACTGAAAAAGTGAGAAGATTCCACCTTTAATAACATGTTAAAATCCTGTCATACAGGAATGGTGCTCATTTATACACAATGATATTAAGGAACAGACCTACCGAGTCATAACATATATGGAATGTTTGGCACAACCAATCAGAAATATATTACATACTGAAAGAGAAAAAGAATGTTCATGCTCAAGTTCCAAGCAAGTTTGGCAAATCATATTCTAACAGTTAGCATGGTAAAATTCTAAGGTTAATGACAGTTAAAGATTTAGCATAACCTCTAGCTGATTAATGTGTTTCAGCAATGAAAGACCTCTTGCTGGGAATTCGCTTTTGCTTTCTGCTATGTAAATTGTTTCATATCAGAGGCCTTTTTGTTTATCTACTAAGCCTTAACATTCAACTGGGCATTCACAGCATACAAATATATGATTCAGTTAATATCCTGTGATCTTTTAACACAGCTAACAGTCAATTGTTTCCTGCTTGTTTATTCTTACTGGTATGTCAGTCTACAGCAGGCTTCCTCAAATTCGGCCCTCCAGATGTTTTGAGACTACAATTCCCATCATCCCTGACCACTGGTCCTGCTAGCTAGGAATCGTGGGAGTTGTAGACCAAAAACATCTGGAGGGCCGAGTTTGAGGAAGCCTGGTCTACAAAATAGTAGTGGATTACCCTACACCTTACTGTGCTTTAGGAAAGCCTGCAGGAATGTAATAGCCTTTACATTAACTGTTTATTGATTTTATGGTTATTTCTGAAGGGTGTGAGTGGGTGGAAGACCAACCCCCAAGTACACTAGGCATTGTTAAACTGTAGCATAACACATTTACAATTTATCACTGCAAGAAACGAAAGGCTATGGTAGTCTAAATAGTAGTGTGTTATAATTCATGATCACTATTTTCTTTTATGTTGATTACTCTTTCATAGCTGTAAGAGCTTAGAAAAGACACTCCGCCAATTGCAAACAATAATGACTGAGCAAGTCTTGCTGATATAATTGCCATCTTGCGCAAACATACAGTCTAGATGTACAATTTGCCAACAGGAAGTCAAATGCTAAAAACTGACTTGTTGCTTACAACTGTTTAGCAAAACTGATCTCCTCTGAACTAAATTGGGGGGGGGAGAGAGATTGGACAGCTTTAACAAGATTTATGTGCACATTTCACTACAGGAATCACTAAGGTGGTTAAAACTGTATTATTTAAAAAGATTTTTTTATCCTACCATTCAACTTAAGGGTTTCCAAGGCAACCACATGAACTACAGGGGATAATAAGTAATGCTTTTAGAAGTGATAGGGTCCGTATGAAAATTGGGAGATTATACTTTGCCAGTAACTGATTCCAGTGAGGGAAAGTGTATTGGGTGTATTGAAAACTTTACTTCTCATTAATATTGATTATTGCTGAAAGTTGTTCTAAAATACAATTTTTAAGCCAACTTCAATTCCTTGACTTCAACAAACTTTTAATTAGAACATAAACTTACATACAAATAGGGTTTGAGCCATAACTTTTTACCATATCTATGGATGTGCTACTGATTTGATTCAAACAAGAGAAGGAAGGTACATTTGGAAGCATCAATGCATCAGAAATAGAGTAAGAAAAAAAGACAGCATTGATGTTCTCTAATTGCCTTCAAGCTATTAATATGTTTAGAACATCAGTGTCACTATTTGTCAAAATATTTCTAACTTGCTCTATTAGCAGTTGATCTCAGGTTGGAATATACCTGTACAACAATCAATAAAACAATCCTTGAAATTCAAAAACCATAAAGCACTAGTTATATTCAACACAAAGTCTAAAATGCTTGATACCAACGAACAGCACAAGCAGGTCAAATACTGAACTACTCTCAAAATGGCCCAAAAGTCAAAGAAAAAAGTAAGGTTTTAATTTGTGCCAAATTATAGTCAATATCAGTGTCAGGAGGGCGGGGAGTCCATAATTAGAGCACCACAACAGAAAAGGATCTCTCCTGCATCTCCACATAATGTTCAGCTTCCAGAGGAGGGACACAAAAGAGAGTACCCCATCCAACCTAGCAAATGTTAATTCTCAGGGAGAAATATATGGAAAGGGGCAACCTTGCAAGTACTGAGGTCCCGAGCCATTTAGCACTCTAAGTGTCATCATTAACACATTGAAAGCAGACAGGAAGCATTTGGCAGTCAATGTAATTTCTTTATGACCAGCCGTAGATGGATTACCGGTATATGAGAGACTCCCAATGGCAATCTTGCTGCTGGCTTCTGTCCCTTTTATGTCATCTTCAAGAGCAGCCCCATGTAGAGCACACTGCAGTAATCTGACTGCAAAGTTACAAAAGCAGACACTCAGACTAGACTGCTTCTGTCTAGCAACAGTCAACTGGCAAGTCAGTCAAAATTTGCCGAAACTGCTCCAAGCCACCAAAGCTCTTAAGCTTTGAGTGGCAAGATTGAATATAGAGTACTCCCAGCCTACATTCTTGTTCCTTCAGGATTGCAGTCCCATCTAGACCAAGTTGATCACCTAATTTCTGGAATCAGAACCCACCAATCCACTGAGCCTCCATCTTGTCAGGATGCAGTTCCAGTTTACTGGCCCTCATCCAGTCCATAACGGCAGGCATATAGCTATAGACATCCAGGACTTGAACAACCTCACCTGACTCAGATGTCATGAAGAAACACAGCTGGGTATCATCAGCATACAGCACACCATAATCAGCACACCAGCTCCAAAAGTTCCAGTGACCTCTCTCAATGGCTTCATAAAGTTGTTAAATAGCACAGGGGGCAGAATAGAACCCTGTGGTCTCCCACAGCTTGTCATGGAGCAGAGCAGAAGTTCGTCAATACTACATTATGGAATCTATCCTATAAGTAGGAATAGAACCATGATAGTACCATGTCCCAAACATCTATCCCACAGAGCTGATATGTGCCATTACAGGCAAAGGTTGAAAGCACCTGTAGTTGGTTGGATTCACTGATTCAATCGTCTCATCCACTTCCTCAGAAAACACCAACCAAAGCTGATTCCAAGATACCTGAATAGACAGTACACTGGACAGCTCCACAGATATTGCAACTTGACACTATACAGTGGTGCCTCGCAAGACGAAATTAATCCGTTCCGCGAGAGTCTTCGTCTAGCGGTTTTTTCGTCTTGCGAAGCAAGCCCATTGACGGATTAGTGCTATTAGCGCTATTAGCGGTTTAGCGGCTATTAAAGGCTTAAAGGCTTAGGGGATTAGCTGCTAAAATGCTATTAAAGGCTATTAAAGGCTTAGCAGATTAGATAAAGGGGGGGGAAAGCGAAAAAAAAATCTCAAGACTCGCAAGACATTTTCGTCTTGCGAAGCAAGCCCATAGGGGAATTCGTCCTGCGAAGCAACTCCAAAACGGAAAACCCTTTCGTCTAGCGGTTTTTCCGTCTTGCGAGGCATTCGTCTTGCGGGGCACCACTGTAGTTGGGACAATAGGATACAAGCAACTTTTTCTTCCAAGTGTTTAACAAATTTATCACAGCAAATACCCAGGGATCCAATCCACTTCCTTCTAAGTCTGACTACAACAGACTCTTTACTACTTAGAACCACTCTGCTGGATGATACTGCAATGGATGAAGCAAAATAAGTCATTTAGACATGCCACTGTGCTCAGTCATACTCAATGAGGGATCTCCACCATCAAACCAATCTAATGAGGAAATGGTCTCTCCATAACAACAGTGTTAATGGACAACCATCTCCCCAAGAGTTTGGATCCCAGCAGAAAAGAGATTCTATCTTGTATCACCGCCTTAGAAGACCAGGGGGCGGGCGTAGAAGAGCTTCTGAAGAGAAGATCACTTGGGAGTGGGCAGAGCTCCAGGGTTGTTGTGAGGACCTCTGTGATAAATTTTGCACCATAAAAAATGTTACAGAAATAAACAGCAATATGCTTACAATACCATACCGTTCTGCAAAAACAATTTCAAACCAGAACTTTAAAAACCATACCAACATGAAAGGGACTCAGCTTAGCATATCACTACATCCTAAGCCACACTAGAAGAACAGACTGTAATGCAGATCACTTCAGAGAAGGAAGGTGACTACCTTTTACAAAATATCAAATTCATCAGTCTCAACTAATTTATTTTTAGAAATCAGCTATTATCATCAGGATCCTCTGAAGAGAATAACTGAAAGCAGCTTATCTAGCCTACCAACACACATTTTTCAGTAAGGTAAGTACCAGCTGAAGAATACTTTATTTTATTTTTACCCTGAAAGTTTAAAGTGATGTGCCTAAGGGAAACCTACTTTAACTCTATGTACATATTAGTTAAAGCATTTGTTTGGTTTTTTTAAATTCAGAATACAACTTCAAAGAAAATACATTACTAAAGCTTATAATATTATGAATAAAACAAACACTGAGAAAATGTTCACTCTGTTCATAATACAACTGAGGGTCATTCGATAAAGCTGATTAGCAGTAGGTTCAGGACAAAGGCACTTTTTCACATATCATACAAATGACCCATGGATTCACAAGATTTAGTTCTGGGCAGATGTTAAAAATGGTTCACTGTGACTACCAGGTTGACTCTCATTATCATAAGCTGAGGAAAAACAGCTCTGCATTAAAAAGACTTCCAAGGCTTGTGTTAGGGTCACTCTCCACTCATGTGCCCAGCTGTGACCAAACACAAACCGAGATACACTCAACTGGGACCTTTAACTGCGCACTGCAGGAAAAGGTTGGTAATGGGAGGCATGCTATCTTCCAGCTGTTTCCCTTTATCACTTATTTCATTGAAGAACTACCCTGGTGTTCTTCAGAAGTCTATAGACATAGATCTAAAACCACCATTGCAATGGAGCAAATGTACAGTTGATATTCATTTGCAGCAGCATGGGAAAAAGTATTTCCTCAAGGTAGCACTCTGTTGTAAGGATATCACATTTCCCTGGCACTTTCAAAACACAAGGTTTTATAAAAACCATTTCCATACAGCTCTATAACAGAAAATGACAGCTGATGAGTGACCTAACTGCTGCCTATTCTATGCACTCTCTGTTTTCTGAATTTCTTTTTATGAAAAACTTTCTGTCTTTCTGTTGTTTATGAAAAACGTGTAACTTAGATTTTGAGTGCTTCCCCCATACTACTCATGGCATACTTATAGGAGGGGGAATGGTGGAATGGCATACTTATAGGAGGGGGAATGGTGGAATGGCATACTTATAGGAGGGGGAATGGTGAACACGAAAAACCTATCTTTTTCCTCACACGACCTCACAAAAATGACTAGAAGAAAATTAAACAACTGAATAGGATGAAGTCAGGAAGTTAACAGTGGGGCTGCCTACCAAATCTCTGCTGAGAGAGTGTTCCACAGAATGGGAATGGCAACACTAAATGTCTGACCCATAGTGGAGACCAGTAAGGCTTCGGAAACATGGGAAACAACTAACAGTACTCGGCAACCAAGCTGGGAAATAAGAGTGCAGGTGGTCATTAAGATATCCTGGACCTAACTTGTTCATGGCTTTGCAAATAATAATATGAAGATTAGACATACAATTTGAAAAACAATGTACTAATCTATAAAATATTAACAGTATTTCAATACCATAGGAAATAACTTTTATTAACAAAGGCTTTGTGAGTCTTCTTCAAAAGAAAGGTATAAATTCATTTGTAATAACTTAGCTTCATTGGGGTATATTCAGTGATGGCTCTGCAGTAGCAGAAAGCACTTTTGCAATTCAGGATACCTGATTTTCTTTTATTCTCCCTACTTACTGCAGACCCTTGGAGCCCTTTAAAAGCTGCTCAGGGTATGGGGGACCTTCAGGTATAATATGAGACATGTTATAGAAAGCTACAGCAGATACAAGCATTTGGCAAAAAAATTACCTTCCACAAGTGAGAACCAACACTTAACACAAACTGCAGTGTTAATTTGGAATATATAGAATTGTGATACAAGAATACTTGGGGAAAAGCAAAAAAAGATAACATGATGATCTCACTATGTCCTGAGTACAGTTGACTTCTACAGTCAGAGTACTGGGCTTCTTATAAAAAAAATGACAAAAGGAGAAGAACATTATAAGCTAGCTTTAAAAATGAACTAGTATGCTGAAGTCACATTATAAATTGATGACAATCACTTGTTCAGACAAGAGTAAGTTCACATTACTATAGAATAACTAGGATTTCAAGAGTGGACCAGTTTCTAAGTTCTATCTTAAAGCCTAATGTTACTAAATAATGGCATTGCAGCTTACTAGACAGATGATCTTTTGCAATATATGGTGCTGGAACTTCAAACGTACCTGAGGTTTCAAAAACACTTTTTTTCACATAGAGAATCCCAGGATGAATCTCTGGTCTCTTCAGTTAAAAGGGATTGGGAGCAGCAGGTAATGTTAAAGACTATCAATCTGAAACTCTGGAGAGAGACTGCCAGTCAGAGTAGACAATACTAGGCTAGACAAAGAAATAGTCTAACCTGGTATAAGGCAGACTATCAACATTTATTTTGAGCACAGTCCTATTAGAAACAGAGTTGAAAACTTATCAGGTTAACGGGGTTAAAGTGGCACCAACATTAGAGTCTATTTTGTATTGTTTTTGTTTTGCTTTATATATGTCTGCCTTGTGTTTTCATTGTACATCACCTTGAAACAATTGTATAGAAAGTGATTAATAAACTGATGATGATGATAAGAAGAACATTAACCCCAATATTTGAAACTATTAAGATAAGGATGGGGAACATTTTTTTGGCCACATTCCCTCTTGGCCAATTTTCTGAGGGCCAAGACAAATGTGGGCATGTACCACACATGCAGACTTTCACTCTTCACACCCCAAGCATCTGCCTTGGAAACTGCAGCTCCATAAAGCCTCCTCATGCAGCTCAAAAAGAGCCTCCTCATACGTGACTGCCTATAGAAGGCTCTGTTCTATCCCAGGGGTGGCCAATCCCAAGAGACTGTGATCTAATCACAGAGACTGGCAGTGATCTACCCCCTGGGGGTTCAGGTCAAAGTTGTTGAGCTTTTTTTTTTTAAGGAGGAAGAAAGCCTCGGGTTTTTTTTTTGGGGGGGGAGAGATCTGCCTGTTGGACGTGCCTGTTCTATCCTAATTGCTGTAGGGGGGAGGGAATGCTGCAGGCATGATCAGGAGGAGCAGCTGACCACATCCAGTCCATGGGCTCCCTGTTCTTCATCCTATTTATTAAGATATGAACTTCATTATATGTGCACTGTAAACAATTCTGAATCCTATAAATGCTTATAAGTCCTTAAACATAACTGAATAAGAATTAGTGAGTGGGAAAATTAGAGCGAGAAATGGGAAGGCGTCTACTGTACTGTGGCCCAGCTCCAACACCTTAATCTTAGTTAATGATCATCTAAATCTCTGCAGCCCTAACTTATTTTGTCTGTCCTCTAAAGAGATCTAGAAGACTTATTTTGGTGAAATATGAAGATTTTCTACCTGAAGAAATAAAACAGACTACCAATGTTTCTTATGGACATGGTCCTATTCTGGATGAAATTTTCTGCACCATAGTAAAATCCTGGAATTGTGTATTATTCAGACGTAACCTATACAGCATTGCTCTACAACTGTTACTGAATGATAATAATCAGACTGATACATTTTATTCTAATATGCTCATACCCATGCCTGCTACTACTTACTATCGTATGTACTTAATTTTTTGCATGTTGTTTGTAGCCACTGTCTTGTCCATAATAGTACTTATAATTTGGATTTAGCAGCCCAATACTATAAAGTTGTGAGAGATAGTTATTTGTTCCATCTAACAAAATATAATATTTCTTCCATAGCATACTGCAATTACTGTAATAATACAGGCTTAATTATCAATGTAAATCAATGAATAAATTGTAACAACAGCTCCTGAAAAAAGATGGAAACAAGTTTATAACAAAATGCTTATTTTGTCATGTTATGATAAAGACTACATTTGCACTATGTATTTTTCTCAATACGACTGCTTACACCATATTGGCCTGGGCTTATGAGATTTTGAATTTAACAGTGTCTGGTGGGCCACAGGCTCCCAGCCCTGCCCTACACCTTGATTTTTGCAGTGTGCTCACATAGACTTGTGCCTTAAGTATTTCCTTGTCCCTGCTCTGTCCACATTTCATGCCAAAAAAATATAATATTGAATCCTACACTCTAACAGCAAAGTATAAAATATGAGAGCTGGTGCATTTGAAAAAGAGACAATGTGTTTGAGAGAAGACAGGCATAAGTAATTTCTAATTCTGGGTTGGAATTAAAGTGGGTCACAGGTCTGGAAAAAATGAAGACCACTCTGATACAGAGCATGTATATACAGATTCAAAGCATGCTCTACCACTGAGCCAGTGAGGTCATGGGTCATGTTTGAATCTCACATTAGCATGTAACATACACATTTAAAAGTTCGAAATCCAAAGAGACTCCAAATCTGGAAAACTACATAAAACACCATTTTTATTAGATATTTGATTTCTGAAAGCTTATACTTATCAGAAGCTGGGCTGTCAGCACATTGTTTCTGCCACACCCCCTAACATTACCTCCTACTACACTGAGCTTAATTTTTAGCCAGTCACCGAAACCGTAATAACTTTTGCCTACAAGGAAGAGCCATAGACGAACATCCTTGCTCCCTCCTTGACGGCAAGGTTTCCAAGTCTCTACCGCAAGGCCAAGACGCTATGCACGAGTTGATGGAGGCGCCTGTGTCCTCACAGTATGGGGCAGGTGACACTGCTTTGCCTTGGAAGTTGGGGGAGGAGGGTTCGCCATTTATTCCCATTTCAGAGATAGGAAACTGAGGGTGTGGCCATGATTTGCTTCCTCCAAGTGCCTCTGAAGGGGGAAAGAGAGAAGGGAAACCCGGGCGTCTCCTCCGTCCCGTTCCCCGCAAGAGAGCCCACAGCGGGCGGGAGGGCAGCTATTCTCTCCCGCTCCACAAATTCACCTCGAGCTTGTGGTTGATCTGGTAGACGGTTTGCGCTTTGTGGCAGAGCTGCGCGAAGCAGGAGCTGAGGCTGGTCATCTTCTGCCTCCCCTCGTAGGTGATGTCCGCCTGGTCGGGGTCGATCTCGCCTAGCAGCAAGTCCACGTCCACGAACGCCTTGTCGAACTCCTTCTCCAGGACCTCCAGCCAGCGGAACATCGACAGGCCGCCGCCTCCACCGGGAGACGACGACGAGGAGGAGGCCGCCGCCCCCGCCCCGCCGCCGCCACAGGCCCCTGAGCCCGACCCCCCGCAGGAGCCCACTCCCACGCCAGACATTGTGACCGCTCGGCGGGAGACGCCTCCGCTCTTCCAACGAGCCCTGCCGCGCTAGCGCACCGCCGCCCCCAGCCGACCCGACCTAACCCTCGCCGGCGCCCGCGGGACGGCCCCCTCCTCCCCTCGGTGCCCGCGAGGCGAGGCGGGACAGGGAAGCGTCGGCCTGAGCTCGAGAGCGGCGAGGGCGGAGCAGCGGCTAAGGAAGAACGAGGGGTGGAGGGGCGGCGCATGCGCGCTAGGTGCGACTTCGCTTCTGTCACCCGGTAGGGCAACGCAGGAAAACCGCTGCCGAGCAGATCGGCGCTCGGCTTCTTCGGCCTGCCACAACGGAGGCTTCTTCGGCAGTCAGGTCGGTTGGGCCGAGATTCCCCACAAATCGTCGATCGACGGGCGCTGCTGCTGTCTGCCAGAGGGAGCGCTGCGGCGCAGCTCTACTTCGAGGGCGGCGCGAGTTTAGCAGCCGGGCTTTCGGTCTGGTTCTCATTCGCTTAAAGACGTGAGAAAATCCTTCCTGGATCTTCCTCGGCAGGCCTGTCTAGCCCAGCGTCTTGTTTCCCACAGCGGCCGGCAATAGCGACGGGCAATGCTGCTGCTTATTGGTCCGTCGGGAGCTCGCATTGACGTTAGGAAGCCGCGCGGGAGAGAGCGCGAGGCGACGGGGAGGTTTCCTGAGTCCGTTTCTGAGCGTTGCCATACTTCTCCCAGAAGCTGTGGCTGAGCAAGGGGGTCTTAATTGGGGGTGGGGGAGCCTTTTTTTATTACTAGGAACATCTACCACCCACAGCAAGGGGCTTGGAATTAAGAACAAGGTGCCTTTTTCTGAGCACATGCACTTGTTTCCAGTGCTAGCACTTACCGTAACTTGAGATCTTAACTGAGCTCTTGTGCTCAAAAGTCCATGCCAGGTTAGGTTTTTGTTTTAGTGAGGAAAGGAAGTTTGGATGCTGGAAGTCAGAGACCCTTCCCGATCTACTGCGATCAGCTGGATCTATCTACTGCCCCCACTACTCGAGCTCTACACAAGTGCAAGCACTGAAGGCGGGATCGGAAGGAAACACTGCATATTCCCGGGTAAAAAAAAACCAAGGCTTTTTTTGGCCCTAGAAAGCTCAACGTATGAACTGTTGCAGCATACAAGAAACATTTAAAAAAATGGCATTGTACGATAGTGTGGGGAAAAAACAGTCCCTTACCTGAGGCTTACATTCTAAATGATTAGCGTGGAAAGTTCCCTAAATACCTCATAGGCTTGAATAAGGCTTGAAATCCTTTCCATTTGTTGTGTTCAGAGTCACAGTGAATTCGCAGTTTACTAGCCTGTCCCCTAATAGACCATCCAAACTTACTTCCATTTGTGCAGGGAGTAACACAGTACTTAAGAAGTGGGATACAAACAAACCTGTTAGCATATCTGCTGTGTGGTAATCACATTTTCCTTCTACTTGGGCGAATATATTGTGTTATGGGGGAGCAGAATTGCTTTCCTCCCACCTATCCTCCAAGAATATAACTTGGACAGGTGTGCTAGCATCACATATCCTAAAACACTTATTTAAAAATTCCTCCTCTCCACCCATCTGATTTTTACAAACTTGGAAGATTTTTTAAAAGCTTATTTGAAGACTCAGCATGTCTAAGAACAGGAGTTTAGTCATTTAAATAAATGGCAAGAACCAGCAGTGATACTTTCTGTACTGCAATACCCTATAATTTTGGGAAGAATTTTGTTTGATCCCTTAAAAAAACAAAACAATAATTAGGCTGCTAAGGATTCCTTCCCTCCACCACTGTGCTGCTTTGTTTGAATACAATGTAACTGCAAAGAGGAATCTTAGCACCTCCAACATGTCTGACCAAATTCGGTGTTACTGGCTCTGGATGGAGCTAGCATAATAGTCCAGTCATGCGCATGAGTACTCAAAGGCAAATCCCACTATATCAGTGAGGCTTTTTAGCATGTGTCCATATGATTGCATAAATGAAATAAATGGGAAGGCTTTTAAAATTTCTGGAAGGCCTCTATCCCTTTGTTGGTTGGAAGGACCATGGAAAGTAGCAGCTTCCTTTGAATTTTCAGAATGACTTTGTGTATCGAGGGGTGCAGCATTTGCTCTTGATAAGACAGCAAACTCTTTTTCATCAAGAGGCATAGGTAGAAACAGTACAACAAACATTGTCCTGTCATAAAGATTATTATCACTGACAGGTGTGGTTCATTCAAATACCAGAATCCAAGGACAAATCCCTGTTCAAGTTTGTTTGTTTTTAAGCGGGGGACATACTGTCCATTGAACTTCTTATTTACGTAACACCTTTTTTGATCCTGCCTTCCTAATTAAATTGTCCAATATGTCTTACAGCCGTAAAACAATAACTTGTAAAACCATCCACATCAAGTAAACCAGCAAACACAAACAAGGAAAGTGCAAGAATATAAAGTGAAGGTTCACATGGTGCATGCAGGAGAGCAGAGTAGGTGCACCACAATAATGTATGGATTGCAATGTTAAGAACTGGAAATGTTTGGTGAAAAAAATAAATCACATAATCATTGTGGGTAGAAATAGCCAGCCAAAAAAGCAATATAGGAGGAAGGAAATATCACCACCTCTACTCAAATTCTGATGCTTATCTTGAGGTAAAGAAATTAGAGTTAGTTGAAGAGAAAAAAGGTAATAATGGATGGCCTCAATTATCCTCACATTAACTGGTACATTTCAAGATGTAATAAATTAGTCAAAGAGCCTACAGGAGAGGAGGTGAGTACGTATTTAATATTGAGTGGTAGCCTGAATCTGATTAGCACTTTATTTGTTGCTGAATGGTATATATGGAAACCACCTTAAGGAGCTTGAAGTCACATTCATTTTAGACAAGGAAACTTGACAAAGCCTAGGGCATTATTTTAAAACCAAGTTATAGGCGAGAGTCCCTTCAGGAAATTTGGAGCATGTATATGGGCTCATGAGAATGCCATTGTAGTTAAGGAAGAGCAGTGTTGAGGAAACCACACAAGACAAAAAGGCTTGCATTCAAAAGTCTTGCTCCAATGGGAAAAATAAAAAAGAACAAAACAAATATAAAACTATTAGGCAGGTAAATAAAGTATTCAAGGAGTAAATGCCTAAATACATAAAAACAACAGTTTCTTTAAATGCAACAAGAACAAGAAATCAGTGAGACAAATGGGACCTTTACAGACCAATCTTGAATCACATTGCCAGCTGTGTTGGCAGGGGCAGGAAGAAATACACTGCCTGTATACTGGTGGAACAATTACTGTATTCTAGTCACACGTGCCAAGGAGGAGAGGGGCAAACATAGCACTCAGAAAATTCCAAAATGGCATAAAAACAGCATCCAGGGAAATGTTGTCACAGTGCTGCCAATGATGCCCACATGCTGACCACACAGGAAGGGAACCAATGAATTCATGATGGGCATGAATTCATTATACCCCCGGCACACACCCCTGGAACAAAATGCTCAAAATGACACCATATGAGCCCTGGTGGCATGGCCAGCAACCATCTCAATAAAAACTCCAGCAATAATAACAGATGGACCCTGCTTGATCAGGCCAAAGGCCTGTCTAGTCCATTTTTTGGTTCTTACAGTGGCCAACCAGATGCCTCTGGGAAACCCACAACTTGAGCGCAACAGCCCCCTTCCTACTTGTGATTGCCAGCAACTGGTATTCAGATGCATGCTGTCTCCACCAGTGGACACAGAATATGGCCATCATGGCTAGTAGCCATTGATAACTTTATTCTTCGTGGATTTATTTACTCGTTTAAAGCCATCTAAGTTTTTGGCCATCGCTACCTGTTGAAGGAATAAATTTCAATGTTTGCTTATGCACTATGTGAAGAAATACTTTATTTTGTCCTGAATCTTCTAACATTCAGCTTAATTTGTTAGTCCCAAATTCTTGCATTTTTATGCAATTTAGAAAATTATGCCATCTAGGCATAATTTTATATGTCTTTGTCATGTCCCCTCCTGATTGCCTTCTGGTTGCCCTCCTGGTTGTCCCAAATATTGTAACCATTCTGATTTCTCCTTTCTTTCTGATTTCTCCTTTCTGCAATAATGCAGCACCTTACTAATGCCAGTCTTCCTTACGCTCCTCACAAGCACCATTTTGGAGCACAGTATACAAGGGGCTGTGACTCACTGGGGGAGGAAAAGACTTTTCCAAGGCCACATCAATAGCAGCTGCACACACAGAATAGCAATAGCTCTCTTTTGCTTAGGGCAGTTGACAAACAGAAAGCAGAGGGATGGTGACAGCATACTCCCACTGAACGTTTACAAGCCCTGGCCCAAAAAAAGAGTGTTAGGAGCAAAAGAGAGGGAGTTTCCTGGACTCAGCAAACATGGCAGAGTGTGGGTTTTTACTGCTTCTCCACAGCTGCACACAGGAATAAAAATATTGCAAGGCATTTGTAGCCCACCAGCCCCAAGAACCAGTGAACAATGCCAAGAAATGGGCTGGAGAAGGAGCCCTCATCTGGTTGAACATCTTATGCTTTACATAACAGGAGATTGTGCTTTAAATCCAGAGTGCAGCCCCACAGTAGGAAAAGTAGGGCAAGTGCACTCACACCTGCCTATATGAAGGGGCATATAAAATAATTTTATGCACAAATACAGTGATCACTCCGACTTTGGGTTTGAAAGCAAAGAGCTCATGCAGACTATTGAACAGTGTTAGACCTGGATAGAGAAGACCTGAATTCTTAAAGATGTAGATGTGATTATGAGGAATTCATTCATTCATTAATTTTTTTTTGCCTCCAGCTGTAAAGAGTAGAGGAGTTCTGGGTGAGTATGAGGTGAAATGGGAACGCAATCCACAGATGAAAAGCAGAGGATAGTAAATCAGCCTTCCATCATTACAGATTTTCAGTAACTAAATCCTAGGAAAACAAAAGATACACAAGTTCTTCAAGTGACATTTTTGCACCAGACAACGTTGTTGTTGTTGTTGTTGCTGCTGCTGCTGTTTATGAATTTTGTATGTCCCTCTTCATCTGAAGATCACAGGGCGGTTCACAACATATATATTTTAAAATAACTCAAAATAAATGTTGTCAATAACAATCATTGAATTATGTAAAATATAGAAATCTATGTAAAATATAGTATATTTTAAAAACAAAGTAAACTGGCTTGATTCCTCTGGATCAATCATGCAACTATGTTTGTGTGTCGGGATGAAAGAGGAGCTTCAGGGTCTTTTTCCTGATGCTTTTAATACGGGGTCATTGAAAATCCAAAAATGTTATAGCCCACTATAAAACAGCTCTTTATCTTTTCTCCCAACTCAGTCTGTGGTGTCACACTTAACCAAACTAGGAAACTACAGATAACAGAAGTGTTTGCAGATTAGGCAACAGCCAATAAATAAGATCAATTTCCATGCCAGAATAAAGATTCCTTATCATTGTTTAAACCTTTTGCTCTTTTGTGATGCCTGTGAATATTTTAACCCAAGGAAGTTAAGAGATTGTCTTTTCTGTTCCCTCTCTTTTAAACAAAAGTAAAACACGCATCTGTATTATCTTTTTATCAGGTGTTACCGTATAAAAGAACACATGGCACTTAAATTCATGGTGCAGCTCACATTTAAGCTGGTGCTGCTCAGGAAGGTGCTATTTAGGAAAATGCAGCTGTTTTGCCGTTTACTCCTCTTGTTTTATCTTTGCAGAGCTCAAACCCCCACATGCCCACGGAAATGCCACTGTGACTTGGCAGGGAGAGTGCAGTGCTATAGAGTTGGAGAAGTGCCTAAAGAGATTGCTAAAACTACCAGGGGAATTTACATCAGCCATGGCAAGATCAAACACCTCCAGGTAGGATGGTTTATTCATCAGCTAACCTACATTTTCAAATTACAGTGGCAAGGTGCAAAAGAGGACAGACTTATTACATATGCAATCTTTGTATAGGATGCAGAATTTGGTACTGGAGGTTTTATTGGGAGGGTGGGGTTACAATTGCCTCTACAGATATTTCCTTTCCTATACTGCTGTTACAATATCAGGAGCCCTCTTCTCCTATGTGTCTGCTGCTAATAATCATCATCATCATCATCATCATCATCATCTTGTTCCATGTTTTAAACTGAACCTTGTAGCCCAGGGCTATGAACTCAGATCTAAGCCTATTATTAATAATAATATTAATATTATTATTATTACCTTAGTTCTGAGTGCACAGCCTTGGGCTACAAGGTTCAGTTTAAAACAAGCTCCCTTTTATTTTGTCTAAATAAAAACCATCATCCAGTGTTCCCTTCTGAATTTTAGAGAACACTTCCCCCTGCTTGGTGTCAGGTGTGGGGAACCACTGGCCCCTCCAAATGTTGCTGAACTGTGACTCCCAGCAAGGGCAAGGGATGATGGGAGTTGTAGTTCAGCAACATTAGGAGGGCAAAAGGTTCCCCACATCTGTTCTATATTAAAACACACGGCATATTTTTATACTGTACTTCATAAAAATTCCAGTTTGACTTAACAACAGTTAAACACAATTTAATACAATAATAATTAAAACAAGGTAAATAAAAGCACATAAATAAGCAGACTAAAAGACAAACAATAGCCAGACTATCCATCAGAGGTTGTTATCAGTAAGCCACAAATGCTTGGGCAAATCAGGTGACCAAAACATAACACACATGACTTGTAGCAGGTACCGTAAGTTCTAGCAGCAGAATAGTATTGTCATATATTAAATATCATCCATAATATTCAAATATTTATGACGTTATACAGCTGTTTTCCATTACCATTGAGAGAACTAAATTTATTTCATTTGAACATGTACAAAAAATAACCTTTCCTCTGTACAAGTTCAATGCATGGTATTGGTAGTTCTGCAACAGTGTTGCCAAATGGCACAGCCTATTCCTGTCCCTTTAACAGTTTTAATAAGCAAATAAGCAGAAAAAGCGGCATATTCTAGGATCAAATAAGAAAACAGGACAACTTATTTAAATCAGAGACATCCCTGGAAAATAGGGGCACTAGGAGGGTCTGTATACACACAGAGTATTAGCCACAATTGTGGGTGATTACATAGCAGCAAATCTTGGGTTTGCCACCCAATGCGCCCTTGATTGAAAACCATAACTGACCCTGTCTTACAAATGTTGCTCTAATATGTGTGGACAGATCTGTTTATTACAGCCAAAATTTACTTTTACCTCTTGTACATTAGACAGACCAATAAATGTTCTTACACAAATAGGTTTGTTTGCTCATTAGTACAAAGTGTAACCACAATTTCATGGGCAAGAAAAATAGTATTTGCATGTCATGACCAGAAAAGAAAAATGGAGGTTCTTATCAGGGTAATTGACTATTTTGTCAACTACTGACCGGATAGCCAGTTGTAACACAAACCTGTAGAGCACCTTTGCACAAAGGGCTGTTTTGTTCTTTCTTCTTAAAACTTCTAAAAGAAGTGCCAAAATTTATGTCATGAGATGATGCTAGCATTTTCTTGTGTGCTCTACAAAAATAGAAACCATCTCTGAACTGATGTATGAAGATATTTCAAATAAAGCACACAGTCAAGCCAAACTAAGTAATTTAAAAATCCATGGTTCTACAACTCACAACACTTCAATTCTAGAATCAGAATAGTGTTGCCATATATTGGATATCGTCCTTTATATTATTAAAAAAATTCTTTTCAGTTCATTAATTTTTTACTGCTGAATCATGAAAAGATATATTTCTAAATTCAACAGAAATATTGTTTTATAACTAACAAATGCTTTGTTTAATTTGAAATACTAATGTTTCTAAAGGCACATTCTAATTAAGACATGTATCCCAGAAGGAAACTCAGCAATTCTAATTTTCATAATATTCTAATCTTTACAATGCTAGCCTATGCGCTGTAAATATTAGAGCTCAGTGGGGTTTACTCCCAGGTAAATCTGAATAGTATAGTGTTTGTTCCATGCCAAGCCTCTAGAGGGCTCCAACTTGCCATGAAACATGGACAAAATCTAGTTTGGCTAAAATTAAATCATGCTCACGTACCATATAATATTGTTCTTGCATAACTCCCGTTTATTTGAATGATGATTTGTGGCCATTCCATGAAACTAAATCCATCTCTGAATTAGCTTGGCCAGAAATAATTTTGTTGTGGCTTTTGTCCTTTAGATCACTGACATCAGCAGCATGTCTGCCCTTGAAGAATTTGTCCTGACCTGGAGTGGGACAGAATCAGTGGAGAATAACACTTTCAAAGCTCTGGATGCATTGAGGACTTTGGAACTTCGGAAAAATAAACTAAGGCACATACCTACCTTGCTTCCAGGAAGCCTTGAAGTACTGAAGCTGGGGGACAATTTAATAAGTGTTGTACATGAATCTAATTTTGAAGGTTTACAAAAATTAAGGGTACTTGAAATACAAAGCAATGTGATTTTGGCTCTTTCTTTTAGTACTCTCTCCTCCCTCAGCAGCTTACAAAGTTTGACTTTGGATGGAAATAATATGGAATATGTGTCTGGAACCTTCTACCTACCCAACCTAAAGTATCTTAGCATGGAAAACAATAAGCTGCAATCTTTCTCAGGAGGATTTTTTATATCTCTTTGCAATTTGCTATTTCTCAACTTAAATGGCAATTTACTGACAAGCACCCCTTCAGATCTGCCTGCATCTTTATTGACATTGAAGTTAGAGAGAAACCAGCTCAAAATGCTAAAATTTGGAGATATGAGGCAAATGGCAAACTTGTCAGAGCTTTTCCTGTCTGAAAATCAGCTTTCATCACTTGAGGGCGTAGAGTTTCTTTCCAGTTTAACTAGACTGGAGCTGTCTGGGAATAAGCTCCAGATAATCCCATCTAGATTACCAGTCACGCTACAGAAATTTGATTGCAGCAATAACCTGATTGAGAGAATAAAGGCGCAAGATTTCAGGGAACTACATAGCCTAAAGCACTTGTTCCTTGACAACAACGTTGTTGCCACATTTGAAGATGGGGCACTTCAGAACTGCACGCAACTGTCTAATCTGGCACTTGAACAAAATCTACTTAGTTCTATTCCATTAAGGTATGTGACTGGATTGGGCTCCCCTTTTCACACCTGCAACAACTGTAAGAAAACTAGGTGTGCCACTGCAAAATACTTAAATGACTGGGATAAATTAAAGCCAGTGTGGCATAATGATAGAGTCAGCTGAGAACTGTGGAAACACCAGTTCAAATCCCCACTCGGCCATGAAATTCACTGGAGAACTCTAGGCAACTCACTGTTTCTCAGCTTAACCTACCTCACAGGCCTGTTGCCACGATAAAATGGGGAGGCGTGACTGTGCATGCTGCCTTGAACTGAATGGCGAAATGGTGGGATATCAAACAAATAATGAATAGAGATTGATATTGCTTCAGAACAGATCAATGTGCAAACAGCATACATGTCACTTATTTCAGTGCAGTGGCCAGATTTTTGAGTCTAGAATCTGATTTCTAAACACAGGCGCCAGGACTCATGCCTCCCAGGAAACCAATTTAGTCTAAACCACTGTATTCCAAAGATGAGTCCTTGCTCAAATTACTCCCTAGTCTGGTTTATGTGCAAGAAATTGGTTTCAAATCACTTTTCTACTATAATGCTAACTGGGTGGCCTTCAGGCAAGGCATTATTTCTCAGCCTAATGACAGGCTTCTTGTTTTAAGGTACTACATAAAACAATGTTTCTTTCTTTACTTCAGACTCCCACATACACTAGCCAGACTGGATCTGAAAGGAAACAGCATACAAAGAATTAAGGAGCAGGAACTGAAGAATTTAAGGCACCTGCAGGTCTTAAACCTACGGAACAACAATATATCCACCATAGATCACAGTCTCTGGAAATATTTACCTCGACTCAGATACCTATATCTGGACAGCAACCCATGGAATTGCACTTGCGAATTCCTCAAAACCAGAAGGGTGCTCACAGCCAAAGGCATAGATGTTAAAGGAGGAAAATGTAAAGCACCATCAGAAAGCCAGGGTGAAAGCTGGATGTCTTCAAAAAAGGTTCTGCATTTGTGTGCACACAACAATCTGTATTCATTAGAAGAAGGAGACGAAATAGGAAAGAACACAAGCGTTGATAATCCCTCCAGTCTCAGAGTAAACATGGATGATTATTATGATTATGAAATATATTAAATAGAAGTCCCCAATAAATTGTGAACTCGAGATTAATTCGGTCCTCCAGAGCAATCTATCCCTGACATTTTTTCATTTTGACCTACAAAATTGTATCTAGTCAGCAGCTTCTAAACCTATTGAAATCATTAGCTCTACCCAGGATTGACCTGGTAAGGCTGGGCTGTTGCATTCTTCCTGTTTCCAAATGTTTGGAATGGGAATGAGACAAATCTAGTGCTGTATTAATGTTGTTTAGACAACACTTCAGTGGGGCCCTAATGATGGTATTGGGGTGGCTATACACAAGCCTGGTTTCAGTACTGTTTGCACATGCAAAAAGTTTGGGGTGAACCAATCTGTTTCATTTCTGATCAGTGCTTGTACCATAGCTTCCTGCTAAAATCCTGTAACTTTTCATACAGCAAATGTCCAGGGTGTGTGTTCTGCTTTTGTTGTGTTGTAATTCAGGTGCCACTTCATACAACAGTAATGTTGGCTATCTATAACAATTAATTGTATAAACAAGATATTCGTATTTGAGAGTGTGGATAGGCAGGGTGGTAGTGTTTTGAAATCACAAAGTACTTTGTTAGAATCCATTTCGCTGTGCATTTAATGAGGTGTCATGGGAAAAACAAGAATACGAATAAATGAAAATTAGTGCACCAATAAAATTGACTAAACGTATGGTCGTTCCTCTAGTGCATCTTCGTTTGTTCGGTCACAGGAAAAGTATATATTCACGGATTATGAAACTGTTGCGTACGGTGGCCTCTTATTCAGAGTCAGTGACCGAAAATGAGCAAACTAAAGGAGTGAAAAAGGCAAAGTCAAGCAGTACTCTCCAACCTAAGCAGCGCGACTATCAGCAGCCGGCGCACACTCCCGCCGCTAGATGTCGCTGTGCATGAGGAAAACACGTGCTGAATCCGAGGGCCGCCGCCGTAGGTGGCGGAGAACTCGCCTTCCCGTTCATCTTGGAATTCAGCTCGGAGACACCGCCCTTTCCTTTAGGGGGCCACGTCATTCGCTCCACCAACCCGGAAATGGCCCTCGGCGGCCTCGCCTCGGCCAATGGGCGGCTCGTGCGTAGGCAAGAGGGAAAAGGTCAGGGCAGGTATGGAGATGGCGGCGCTAACGGAGGTTGCCGGGCAGATAAAACCGTGTCCGTGAGGGAAAGGAAGGCGAGATGGTTTGCGCCTCGCACTGCGGCTGAGCCTCCCTCGCGACAGCAGCAGCCGCCGCCGCCTCTTCCGCCGCCGCCGCCTCTCCTTTTCCCGCGTCCGGTTCCCTCGCGCCGTCCTCCGCCCAGACCAATGAGCGTCGCGCACGAGCTGCTGTGGCGCCTGCTGCACCTCCTCCTCCACGTCCAGCGCGCGCTCTTCGCCTGGTTCCGAGGCTGGTTCGGAGGTCGCGGCTCGTGGCTCAGCCGTTGGCGGCGGCGCGCGGCTTCGGCCGCGGCCGCCGTCGCCTCGCGGGCTCTCCTGGCCCCGGCGGCGGTGGGCACGGGGGCTTTCGCCTACCACAGGCCGGCGGCGGCAGGGCGGAAGGTGGTCGGAGGAGGAGGCGGCGGCGGCCGGTGGCGCAAGGACGGGAAGTCTCTGCAGAAGCTGCCGGGCCACGTCGGGCTGGTGGTGGTCGAGGAGGAGCAGAGCTACGCGGACATGGCCAGCCTGGTGGTGTGGTGCATGGCGGTGGGCATCTCCTATGTCACCGTCTACGACCAAGAAGGTGAGTTGCCCTCGGAGCCGCCTTGTCCGCTTGTCCTTTCCCTAAACCCCTTTCGATTTTCTTCTCCCATCCCATGCGGAGGACGTGACCTTGCCCTTGCTCGGTTCAGAAACGTTTGCTCTAAGTTAACAGTTTACTATAAATAAAGGCAACCCGCGCATGCCGGGAGGCAACTTCCACGGAAGTCGCATGTGCCTCCTCTGAGAACACAAGTGTAGGGTGTGTTGGTGGCATCTGAAAGGGGTGACAGATGGGCAATGGGGTGGGGGTTAAGGATACAAAGACCTCTGTTGAACGGGGCTTATTGCCAGGTAACTGCACACAATTGCACCTTTGTTGCTGCAAAGGATTTGAGGAATGCCCCTTGCTTCGTCAGATGTGCTGCCATAACAGTTAAAGTGCCACAAACAAGGCAGCTCAGAGTAGACCCGCTGAAATGAATGAAGGTGAGTTTGTCTTGATAAATTTTCAGTCCAAGGATTTCAATGACTCTGTGTATTAGTCAAATGCAACACCCTGTTTCTGGTTGCCAGGACGTTGTCTCTCCCCTTCATTGCAGTCCTGTGCACATTTACTCTTGTGTTCAGTATGCTTGGGAGTAAACCTCTTATAAACACAGTGGCATGTTGTTTTGAATATACATGCATAGGCTTGGGCTGTTGATCCCTTACCTGGACTGCATCTCTGCCTGAGGTTGAACAATCCCTTGCTCCTCTTCTATAGGTCCAAATTTGGAGCTGTGGAAGAGGTAGGTGATTCCCAGGAACTGTGTTAGGCATCAGATGATCTCAGAAGCCCAGTGTAATTGCTGGAATCATACCACCACTGTTTCTAATTCTAGGTTTGGGGCTGGGAAAGGGAGAGCAAGGGCTAGGTAGCTGCATCAACACCCTTGCTACCCAAACAAGTCCCAGACTTTCTCTGTAGAGCAAAAGGCTGGGGCTTATTTATGCAGTGGGTGGAAGTGTAGCTCAAAGTGCCACCACTTTTCACTTTTCAAGGCTGGGACTTGACTGGATGGAGGAGATACACGGAGTGCCACAGCTGTCAACCACCTGTCTCCAGCCTTTTCCAGATGCAGCTGGAGGGAAAGGCTGAGGCTCATTTTGCAGTGGTGAATAGACACTTCTTGGACCACCCACTGTGCAAACAGCCAGCTCCGAATGTGGAGCTGGAGAGGTGGGTGACAATTTTCCCCATATCCCAACACAAGAGAGGGATGTCTTTGTTCCTCTCAACCAGGAAGGAAGCAGGTGGGTTTCTGCTTCTCACTCTTGCCAGAGAGCAATGTATCACTTGCCATGACAAGGGGGCAGAATTGTTAAAGGATGATCAATGTACATGAAAGTTTTTTAACATTAAACAATAAAATTCAAACTAATTCATAAGAAAATACAAAACACAACTGTACAGAGAAAAAAGAATAGAGAAAGAATAACTAAAAGACCCTTTATCACATTTATATTGTGCATATCTTATCATTTATCCACACATAGAAAGGCAGACTCCCGCAGCGGTTCTCAACCTGTGGGTCCCCAGATGTTGTTGGACTACAACTCCCATCATCCCTGAGCTCTGGCCTTGCTAGCTAGGGGTGATGGGAGTTGTAGTTCAACATCTGGGGACCCACAGGTTGAGAAAGTCTGCCCCAAGATCTCACCTGGGTACATGTATCAAAGTCATTTAATTGAAAACCAGTGCTGCTTTCTTACCCCTCCCTATTTCCTGTCTAACAAAATGATAGAAGGTATTCCTCTCTATCTGAACCCCATCTCTGACCAATAAGGAACAGTACAAATCAGTTCTATTTTCTGACCAGATCCTATCATGCAAACTGTGTTTGTGATGTAGTTAGGTTGCAGGGAAATGGGAAATAGTGGTGGTAGTTTAAGGTTTCAACCAAGAGCATTAGTCTGTAGCCTCAAAAGAGAGAAATATTTGATGCTGTATTATATTTAGAAGACATTTTTTCTGCCTTGAAGAATCAAGCCCGAAGCAGCAGCAAATGATGCAACTATGTGTAGGTTTAATTTAATTTGTTAATAAGTACAAGCATGTTATTTAAATTTCATATGACTACTTAGTCTCAGATTCACATGCTGATGGTTGTCATACTTTGAAGTGAATCACTTAAGCTTTTTTTCCATCTTGCATACATTAACAGCAACAACATAAGCACAATTGATTTTATGATACTACACAGGGGCATATGTATTCAGATATTTAGCTGCATTCAAAAAGTTACTTTTTTAAAAAAATCAAGCTTTCAACAAACTGTAGTTGAAACTGGTTTTGGAAACAGACCAATTAAGAATAAAAAGTCACAATTCAATTCCATACATCCGTATTCTGTTTATAGCTAATATTTCATATGACAAACAATACTATGCAGCAGACACGTTTTCTCTTTTTGGAATATTTGGAATAGGAATTCTATCTAGTACCCATGGGGTAGGAAATCTTTTAGAGGTCAAGTTCTGAAACTGTCAGCATTTGGGCCTCTTTTGTAAGCTTAGAAGATAGTTTTTGGCTGCTGCTGCTGCAATGGTGGTGATGGGTTATAATAATCTCCCCCAATCTCATACTCATCAAATGTTTGGGACCCATGGACAATGGTTAGGGACGTTGGGTGTTATAATCTAAAACATCAGGAGGGAATCCAGCTGGAGAAGGCTGGGACATAGCATTGATTCATGGACATCTGTTGCTAGAATTCTAAAGTCATCTTTAGTCACAGTATGCTTGAAAAAGCAAACAACTCTTGTGTTACATTGAACCTTTATTTTGAGAGTAACTATATAAAATGTGTAATCATGTTAGCAGGCTATAGGGTAGGAGAGATTGGAACGGTTCACTTTGTCAGCTGACATTGCCTCCAACGGCATTGGAGAGGCCTTGTTTCATTCTTGTGAAAGCTAAAAGCAGACTGCTTGGTGCAAGGGAACCAAAAGATCCTCTTTCACATAAATGGTGCTTCCACTGAGGCTGTGCTTCTGCCACTGCATCCAAATGTATTTGTCAAGTGCTTACTTCAATAATGTTCTTTTTTACAAAGCACTGGGGAGAGGTGTTTTGATTTTTCTAATAAATCAGAAGTGAACTCTGTGTTTAAGATCTAAACTACAGAAAACTAAATAAATAGATTGAACAAATGTGGTATGAGCCAATCCCTCATTAGCTCCTACATTCCCAAGGCGTCATCTTACAGGTTAGCTGTACAGGTTATCCCGAGTAGTTGTTTCTAGGTCCTTTCTTCTTCAGTGCCTTAGATACACGAGCATGGAGTGTTCGATACAACTATTAAAGGCATGTGAAGAGGCAAGATACAGCAACTATTAAAAAACAATTTAAAATGAGCACAGTTTTTTGGACGTGATGTAGTTGTTCCACTTCACAGGATCTCTTTCCCAGCTCCCCAGGCTGAAACAGCTACCATATCTCAAATGGAAGGAAGAATGGAGCATTACTGAGAAGAAATATGTTTCAATGTATTTTCTAAATTATTTATGTCATTTGAAACTATACTTCTAATCTTATTTTCACTCAATTTGACAATATCTGTGTGAATGAAGTACATAAACTTTTTGTTTTTTGAGAATGTTTTAATAGGAACAGCCTACAGGGTGAAGGTGATGGCGAATAGCAACTTGATACATACTTGCATTCTAACAATTTGTTGTTGTTGTTGTTACTAATTACCTTTTCTGCAACCTGAGGTCCGAGGAGAGTTACAATATTAAAACACAATATTTAAAACAAAACAAAACACAATACTGTATTAAAACATTTCAAAACAGCCTACAGTCACAGAAACAAGGTGGATCCTAAAAATGTATATGTCAAGTGTCAAAAGCCAGAATTAAGAAAGCTGCATCTTCAGAATTTGTTGGAAGTTGTATAGTAAAGGTGCCAGATGCAACCTGGGGACTGTCACAAAGAATGCCATCTCCCAGTCCACCACCCCTCAAACTTCTAAGGGTGGAGGAACTACTAAAAGTGCCCCCTCTGCTGATCTTAGCAGTCAAAAGGATCTGTAGGAAATGAGACAGTTTTCAGATATCTAGGCCCTGCATGTTTAGAACTTTAAACACTAATGTAAGTACCTTGTTTGGGCTGGAAAGGAACTGTTAACCAGTGCAGGTGTTTCAGAACTGGGGCTATAGGAGATCTAAATGAAACCCCAGCCAGTAATGTGGATGCTGCATTTTGGATCAACTGAAGTTTCCAAGTAATCTTTTAAGGGCAGCTGCATGTAGAGCACATTGCAGTAATCTATTCTGGAAGTTACCAGGACATAGAGTGCAGTGGCTGAGTCATCTCTGTCCAAAAGGGGATGTAGCTAGTGAACTAGCCATAGCTGAAAAAAGGCATTCCTAGCCACCGAGGCCATCTGAGCCTCTGGGGCAGTGCTGAATCAAGGAACACCCTTAGGCTGCAGATATGCTACATCCCAGGGGGTGCAACCTTATCCAGGGCAGGCTGCCGCCTTATCTTCTGGATATGGGAACTTGGAACACATAACACCCTCAGTTTTCAGGATTCAGCTTCAGTTATGCATGCTGGTTAGGAAAATCCAGACCTGTGGACAGGTGCTCTAGATATGTCCAGTTTTAAATTTTTGTATGTCTCTAAACACATGTCTTCTTAGGTGGAATTAAATTCCATAAAGAGAGACTGACTAGTACACATAGGGATTCCTCAATTTCAAATGTCTTTTATGTATAAATTAGAAGCTTGACTATCAAGAGCAAGGTGGAAACAGAACTTCAGACAGATCCAGAAGCTATACAGTGGTACCTCTGGTTAAGAACTTAATTCGTTCTGGAGGTCCATTTTTAACCTGAAACTGTTCTTAACTGAAGGTACCACTTTAGCTAATGGGGCCTCCCGCGCCGCCGCTGTGCGATTTCTGTTCTCATCCTGAAGCAAAGTTCTTAACCCAAGGTACAATTTCTGGCTTAGTGGAGTCTGTAACCTGAAGCATCTGTAACCCAAGGTACCACTGTACTAGCAGAAATGAGAAGCCTTATAAAATAGCTTATGTGTTGAAAAAAATAATGTTCCTATTTAATTATAGGATGGTAAATGCATAATAATACTATTGTGATTTTTTCTTAAATATTCATGAACTAATCAACTTTTAAAACTGATTATTAAAAAGACTGCTTACTTTTTAAAAAGATGCAATTAACTTTCGTAAGAAATACACATTAAAATGAAACATAATTGTATGTAACAGAACTACAGTTGTATTAAATACATTAATCTAAGCCTCAACATGTCACAATTCTAAATTTTTTATACAACTCAGATTTTAAAGACGCCAATACTGAGATAGGCTTTAATGGATGACTAATAACAATTTAGGGAATGTTATCTTCTGTGAAAGTAACTTTGACCTATTTGTATGGGCTGAACAAAAGTTCTGTAGGCTTTAATGGATAGCACTCCCACACAGCAAGGCTTCTACAAGATGATTTATAATTGAAAACCTGTTGGACACTTCTCTGCCTAATGCAGAAAAGGCAATTAGTTTATTCTGCTGAAAGCATAACAACTCTTTATTTCCAGGCAAATACCTGGTACAAAAATATATAAACCATTTTCATATTAACTTTATATCTTAGGCCCCTAGAGATCAAAGGAACATTTCTGTAATGCTAGCCCTAAGAAGGGGTAGGAATTGTTTCAAGAAAATAATTTGAGTACTAAAAATTTTAAAGAAACTTAAAACTAAAAAAATTGCTGGAACCAATATAAAGGAAGAAACATAAATTATATGCTTGCTAAACTTTTTTTTTTTTGAGGGGGGGGCTAATAAAGTTGACAAACAACTGCACATAAAGAAAATTTGGTGCCTCCAGTTTTCAGAAAGCTAAGAAATATTAACTCTAATAGTAATGAATAGCCCTGTGTCATGAAGTTTTTAATATCTGATGTTTCATTGTGCTTTTTATATTCTGTTGGAAACTGCCCAGAGTGGCTGTGGCAACCCAGTTACGTAGATGGGTAGGGTACAAGTAAATAACAATAACAATAATAACAGCAGCTCGTGAGGCACTCAAACCAGAAAAGCTGCACCTGGCCTTGTCTTTAGCCTATTTTTATAGCACAGTAGCAGTTGATTGGTGTGTCATACCTATATAGTCACATATGTACAGTTGGGAACCACTTAACTTGGACAGATTTTGGAACATTCAGGACAGACAAAAGGAGTCACTTCACACTGTGCATAGTTTATTTGTAGGATGTAGTGTTGGCCACCAGCTTGCATTAAAAGAAGATTAAATGTATTCATGGAGGATAAGGCTATCAACAGCTACTAGCCATGGTGGCTGGGCAGTACCTTCCATGTTGAAGGCAGCATGCCTCCAAATACCAGTTGCGAAGAAAGGCAAGTGGTGTGAATGCGATCAGAATGCTGTTACACTCAGGTTCTGCTTTCAGGTGACCACTGTGAGGACAGGATGCTGCACTAGATGGGCCTTTGGTCTGATCCAGCAGGACTGTTCTTACAGAAAGTACTCAAAGTTTATTTGCCAGGTTCAACTGCAAGGTCTGTGGGAGTCATAACATCTTATTGTGCAAAGTCACCTCTACAGCTGCTGCTACTTGTTCAGACAAGTACAGCTTGGTTAACAGTAGTTCTGGTCTGTGCCCAGCAGCATGTGTTTGTTTTTTCTTTGTTTTTATTTAAAACAAAGGCTGAGACTTAGCTAGATTTAGCACCCATTGGCCTCATTTACATGACAATTCAGTCCTGGTTTTAAGGTAGACTACATAACCTGTAGTTCATTATGCTGCCAAGTTAAACTCTAATAAATAAATCATTTTGGGTAAAAGTGTTGAAAGAATTGGCTGGGTTCCAAGAGCCATGCAACTCACTCTGTGCACCGCAAAGTACTTTGGGGTTGGATGTCTCAATCAGCACTTTGGTCATGTGACAGTAGTTGTTGGTAGTTATTGCAGCTCCAGTGTCTGTCTTTTGGGGTGGGGGCAAGGCGTCAAAAACTGTTAGATACACCCAAAGCCTTAGGTGTACCTTCAGTAGAGTTTTTGTATCCTGGACATTACTTGCACTTGTGGATTCTGGTAGTAACAAATGGTTGGATATAAAGTTGTAGAAACAGAAGACTGTTCATGCAACATATATTCCCTTTCTTCCCATACCCCCCGAGAAACCTTTTTGGAGTGCCATACCCAACTTAGCAATACATGAAACTCTACCCGTAGGATCCCACATGGAAATTCATGCCTTAAGATTGGCTGTTTGGGAAAGCTCAAAAAATGTCACCCACCTGACACTTTCAAATTGGGCAAAAATAAACTTGAACACGTGTTAATGATGTCTTCAAGTTCTTAAGTTCACCTTTAAAATCAAGACTACTGACAATCAAACAGCTACACAAAATAAATGCAGTATAAAATTGCAAGAATAATGTTTATATTAAAAAATTGCAAATAGAAATCCATACTTCCACTTTGGAACTTTAATCTTATTGTTTTTTCTTCTGTTAATTACATTTTTATTCTGCCCTTCCTTCAAAGAGCTTAGGGTAGCATATATGATGCTCTGCTATTTATATTAAATTAGGCTGGGCCACCTGATTACTGTTTAAAAGATGATCTGTTTTTAATTTTTTAATCCTTGAAGGTGGAATAATTGGAACATAATTAATTCTGATTATATTAGCTGGATATAGTAGTTGATTTCAGCAGGATTACTAATCTCCAGTCGGTATTCTGATTTGTGCAACAGACTAATCAAGTCTGGCTGAAAAAGATTTGTGGTATCTGTTGCCAAACTGTAGTTCACTTTTCTCAAATTCAGATGGCTGAAAGCTATGCTTAAGGAAGCTTAGCTACTATTTGGCATGATACATGAATTAATGTTCCGTAATTCTAAGAACTACTGCATCAGCTAAAAACAAAACAAAAGCAGACAAACCATTATTTCCTCTGTGTGTGTGTGTGTGTGTGTGTGTGTGTGAGTGAGAGAGAGAGAGAGAGAGAGAGAGAGAGTAGCAAAAACCATGGTTTGGTACGAGAACTTCAACTATTTGATGTCAAATTGAAAGTTCATACAAGTTTCTGTAAGATGGCTAGCCTCTACGTGTTTTTCTTCAGGAGGTAAATGAGGCCCAGATCTCCTTGGATTTTTTTTAAAAGAAAAATAATTAAACTATTTATATGATTCTAGAGATCTATAAAAATACTGACATAGATTACCTGGAAAATGATGATCAATTAGCCAGTACTTCTTTCTCTTCTCTTTGCAAGGTTTTTTCAAGAGAAATAATTCAAGGCTAATGGATGAAATCCTAAAGCAGCAGCAGGAATTGTTAAATCTTGACTGTTCCAAATATACAGTGAAGTTTGCAAATCAAGATAAAACAGATCAAGGTAAGATTTCTTATTTTGAAAATCCTGTACTGTTATTGAGAACTAGAAAGTTCCTGGACACCCAAATCTGATCCACAAACATTGATTAACTCCCTGCATGGGAATTAATAGGTATCTCCATGAGTACAATAAATCCCATGAACATCTCGGCATATGCTGATAGCTGGAATTGAGTGTGAATGCCTTATTTTACAGAAATGACTGGCAGTTTTAGTTAAATGTTTAAGTTTTGATATTAAACTTTTACTGAACTATTAATATTTTAGCAAGTGTTTCTTGTGATTCTTTACAGAAGGTTCATTTTGTAAATTAAATTTAAAATAACCTTGCTGCTGGGAGCCTTCACTGGCTTTGGGAGTGGAGAATGATGTTTATCCTGTTTGCAAGTGAGAGGTGAACTTCAAGTCAAGCTGACTTCTTCCATTTCCATTTAAATGCTTTAAGTTTTTTCTTTTTTGTTGCAGTTTTAAATTGCCAATCTACACTGAATGTGCTGTCTTCAGAGGATGGGAAGACAGATATAGTAAAAGCAGCTCAGAAATTTTGCCACTTAGTAGCACAAAAACAAAAAAAATGCACAGATCTGGATATGGACGTCTTGGAAAACTTATTAACTAGTAAGTATGATGGCTGAAGTTGTTTACCCCTCATAAAAAGGGGGGGGCTAATCAGGTGACAGTAATTTTCCCAGACCCAAACACATTTGTATCTAGAGCTCATACCCATTGTACACAGTCTTCAAACTGGCAGATTCTGAGGGCTGCTTCACAGAATACCTATTTCCCACAAGTGTTTTGGTGTATGCTATGTAGTGTTGTGCATTTCAAAGAAATTTAATTGCTTGTGGGACGTGAATGACTCATTATTTGTTATAGCACATAAAGTAATTTGGAGAGAATTGCTTCAGCTAAGCCATCTGAGGTAAATTTTATTCAACTGCCAATTGAAATTTGGCTATAAAGGAATTTCAGGGGGAACTTATTTTGACAGCTGTAGTGCAACTGCTTTTTTTATTAAGTAGTGCCAGGAGATTGTTACATTAAGTGCTGTTAAAAACAAACTGTAATGCCTCACTAAATTTACCATTTGGCAGTGTTTCATTTTAGCGAGCAGAATTGTTTTATCTGCTTTTGTCTAGCTATATGTTACGGCTTGACGAGGAAATGTTCAAGTTCACTGTGGATATATACACTGATGTCACAAACGTATGTTCCTGGCTGCCATTAATTACTGTGTCAGGTTAAAAGATAAATGTCTGTCATAGCACAAAGTGGAACACAAGTGTGGGCCAATACAGGCCCGTATAGGGCCTTGGAGGCATTTGAAAGCAGATTTCATACTGCTCGGAAGAGCTTCTGAAGTTCAGCATAATGTCAGATAAAAGATCCATACTTACTTAATCGGGAAATGGGAACAAACTGCATGGCAGTAGCAAATTCTGGCTGCTTTGGACACCTCCACCTTCAAGTTAGCCTGAAGAAGGAATATGTCATGCAGTAACAGCAATTACTGCTGATGGTACAATCACCTTTTTTGAAATCAAGACAAGGGTTGTGATTCAAAGAAGGCATGTGTGCAACGTGAAAAAGAATTGAGTGAACAGCTAAATAAGATTTTTTACTTTCTTGAAACACTTGCTGGAGATGTGACATGTCTTCTTTAAATTGAAACTGTACCTTGCTTTCTTTAGTCATGGGCACTATTACCACAACAAAAAATAATGACACTTCCTTTTATGCGTTTGGCTCTCAAAGCAGCTTAGAAGGTTGCACTTTGAACTACAGCCACTGCATGGTGGTTCTGAAAACACTGGAAGCTTAAAATACTGATTGAACAGTTGTATTTGCAGTCTTTTTCTATAAAGTATATGCTAGAAATAGCAAGAAAATAAAGCTAACAGAGATTCAGATTTCCTTTGCTCTAAATGAGCAAAGTAGTAATAAGCATACTTGCTTTCAGTAAATTCCAAAGTCAGTGGGCACGGCAGTGTTTCAGTTAAACTATCATAAAGACCAAAGAATGATAATTTTTTTAGCACTGTTTAAACTAGATAATCAAAATTGTAATTGTAATATTTATCTTTATATACCAACTAAATTTGCACACAGTAGTTAACTGTCAAATTGTTTGAGGTCATTTTTATGGGGTCTAAGTGATGTCCTCTCTAAAATATTTGGTACTGTTCTATGGAAAATAATTTGTAAGAACTGCACATTGTATGTGAAGATGTGTTAAAGCTCTAATGTAACAAGATGGTCTTAATTCTACAACCCCAAACTACTACTCTTTCTAGGTACTAATGGCTTTCCTGACCCAGAATTAATATTAAAGTTTGGTCCTGTGGACAGTGTATTAGGATTTCTTCCATGGCAGATCCGATTGACGGAGATTGTGTAAGTTGACTATACATAGTTGTGTGTAACTTGGAACATTTACTTTGTATTGCAAGTGGCTTTGACCCTCTGTGTTCAAACTTTCATGTGTGATTTTCAGTAGTTACATTTATCAGTGAATATGCTATTCTTGTCATCATGCCCCAAATAATAATAGTTCTCAAAAGCCCCTGTTAAAAGCATGCTGACAGTTTCTTTTCCTTTAGTTGATATATAGTTTCCCACTTTATTTATAAAGGTGCAAAATGTGTGGTCAACTTGTGAAAGGAAAAATAATTATTATTTTGTTAGGAGTATAATAAATTTGTAATAAGAGAAGGAAAGCCATTTATTTTGTTACTCTGAGTACCAAAAGACCGTTGAAAGATGTTGCAGGACATTCTGATCCCAAATAACCATCATGTTGCCCATTGAGATCCCATCCTACTTTTCCATGTTAATAGATGTAGAATATCTACCCTCACATAGATCTGAACTTGAAATTGGTTACAGAGATTACTATCCCTAACTTCACTCTTTAGCATGAATTAAAATAGTTTGAAACGTCTAGATTTTTTAAATGGTAGGTTAGAGAAGCCTGCTACCACTACAAAGCAGATCAGCAGCAGGTTTTGTTCTACCAAGTATATACCAAGAATATGTTCTTTATACCATTCCAGTGGGGGAAGAAAATAAATATTGCACTTCAAGCCTGGTTTCATGAGTGTATGTGTGAAGGAGAAGTAGTGTGTCTCCTACCCCAGAGGTTACTTGGCTATAGGAACCCAATCATAATGAGAGGTACTTTGCTGCTAGATACTGATTTAACAGAGCTTCACTATACCCATAAGACAGATTCCCATTCAGCATAGTAATATTCTTCAGCAGAGCAAAAAAAAACCTGCATCAGAAGCAAAAGCCTGTCTAATACTATGTGACCCACTGTGTTAAAAGCTATAGAAAGGTCAAGGGGAGGGGAGGGGAGGGGTAGTGTTTTCTTTTTCTGCCCAAGTGCTGTATTTCCTCCTGGGCAACCTTCCAGAAGCCACATTCCAGCAGCAGACATGGCTAGGACAAAAGTGGGCATAGCTACAGTTGAGGAGACCAATTTCCCCTAAAAGATTTTAGCTTGTTTTCCAAGACTAATTACCAGAGGGAGTGATTTTCCCACCCTAGATTTGATCTGTCCAAAAAACGTGTGCTCCTTGTGCAGCAGTTAGGCTTGAAAGAAAGGCGTTCTTCTTGATCTAATTGCTGGAGAGTGGCAAGGAGCAGGTGCTGCGGGCTGGTTTGCAGGCTGCTGATTCTCCACTGGTCTAGGATGACATCATCTGTGGCAATCACCAGGTGTAGGTTGCCTTCCAGAGCAACTGAACCCATTCAATTAATGGTTCCTGCATAAGCATGGCTTAACCCAAAGAATTAAGATTTAGACCTGGGAATAAAAAGTGCTAAGTATCTCTGGAAGTTACAGATGGTCTTCCCATAAACATTAGCTACACAGCAAATCTCCCCCTTCACTCCAGTCATGCTTGTGCATTATTCATCAGCACTTAGGTTGTAGGGCTTTCTGGCAGGCTTCCACACTGTAATCTTGATTCTGTAATCTTAACATGCATCAGTAATGCTTTGTAAATTTTCTTGGAATCTGCCCTGTTGTGTGTTTCTTAAAGGGCCAGGTCGATCAGGCACAACACTCTAAAGTACTGTTTCATGTAAAAGGCACACTAAATTCAGTATCTTCCATACAAGTGTTCCTGTGTGAATAGTTCTGTGGTATCAGAAAATTACTTAATGTAACCAGCTCAGTACAGTCAAATGATGACTGGGTTCATACAATCCATGATTAACTCTCATCTGTCACTATGCAAATCTTTAGAATTAAAGGAAATGGTTGAAACTAAATTCTGGCTGAGGAATGAAGATTGGATTTCTGAAGTTCTCTAGAATGGGGTTTGGATTTCTGAATCATTCCACATATGGAATTATAACTATCCTTGAAAACAGAAGTTAGTTGAAGAGCTGTTAATGTAGTAAGACAGTGCCAAAACTGATACAAGAAAGCATGTGTTTGGCTTGACTTCCCTTCAGTAGAAGGTTAACAAAAGCATTACCTGGAAAGGTGTGTCAATATTTGAGGACTATCATACTTGACTGTCATGTCAACGGAAAAGCTATGTGAAAGTGAACCTGTGAAGTAGTATTGAATAGTATTGCACCTGTAGCTGGAGCAATAATGTCTCCTATCATTTTTCTACTTTTCTCCCTTCTGTTAATAGTCCCAATACTGTGCAGAGCCGGTCGGTTCTAAGTAGTCATCTATTCTAATGTTAAGTCATTTAAGTTTGCAGATCCACTTGATCAATAAAATTTTAATTGATTTCAGTTAGATTTCTCTGACTTCATGGTTTGTCCAGAGTTATGTCTGCGATATGCTGTGTATCAGCTTGAGAATAAACCAGTGAAATTGTTCAAAGGCAAGGATTAGTATAATGCTACTTGGATTAGGATAATGCTAGTTGGATATTAACTGCCTCTTTCCAATTGTGTTTTCCCAGTTCTTTGCCTTCACATGTGAACGTCAGTTATGAAGAATTCTTCTCTGCCCTCCGTCACTATTCAAACTGTGAACAGCGCGTGGGAAAATAACTTCTTGCTGAACATTATCAGGATTTCCATGGAAAGGACCCAGTGTCTCTGTTTACAAGTACCTGTGATACATAAAAGTCCAGTACATAGTCTCTTAATTTATCAAATTCAATAAAGTGTCTTACCTTTTTAGAATTTGTATGCGTGTGTACTCATAGTCTTTGGAGTTGCGGGGAAAGCAGTGGTCTACTGCTGTGGCATATGGCATACCATAAATATTGTAAAACAGCTGTTTAGAAGCTTTGGGCCTCTCTTTCCAGTGACCAAATCCTTAATAAAAGGAATACTTCTGACTTTGAGGGAACCAATCTAAGTAGCACTACAATCAATGGGGAGAAACACTGGACCATATAAAAACCCTTCCTAGAATTTTCTGCTGTCACGCCTTTGTCGTCTCATTCTCATTGGACTTGAATAACTGAAAGTCTAGGAAGCTGTCTGCATAGTTGTCCTCAAAAGCTTCTAGAAATGCACCTCAGGGGTTTGGGGGCGTGTGTGTGCTTAAAATGGAATTAAAAGTATAGCTGAAAAAGATAAGCATAGAAAGGTCAAGGGGTTTCCCAAACATGCTTTTTAATCACACATGTTAAGTACATTATGAAATAACCATTAGAACAACTGGCAGCTGCAAAAACTATAGCCACAGTCTTCCCTTTCTCTCTTAGGAAGGTGGGTGTCTCCACAACTTGTTAATTGACAATTAAACACTTTATTAGAAGTCAATAAATGTTGGGTTGGATCATCACCATATAACGGAATCACATAAACCGATTTTTCCCCAAACAATATGAACTATAAGATATACATTACAGTGTGTGTTTTAAAATGGTATACTCAAATTCTAAGGTAAGTTAAGAAATATGACTTGTACTATTTTTAAAGGCTTAATTTCATTTTGATAATTATAGTCCAAATCCACTGTGATGTATTCATTTTAAACATAAGTAAAATTGTCAATTTACATTTTTGTGGTAATGTAAATGGATTGTGTTTGGCTGCATATAGCAGCAAAGGGCAGGAAAGTATTAATTTAATATGCACTGATGAACCTGTTCCCCTCCCCCCATTATAAGATATAGCATGACTGTCTGCATAAATGACTGTGACAATTGTTGTATGGCAGTGTGATAATACAATCTAATTGCAAAACAAATATGCAGAAAAATAAAATTCATGGACTCATTTTCTTGATCCTGCAGCTACCTAGGTGCTGTTTAATATATAAGGTATACTGTTCCTTCAAACCCTTAACCTAATTTTATCCCTAAACATTGATTGGCGAAGTTAAGTGTCCAGGTGTTCCTTTTCAAAAGAGTATTTTCTTATGGAATGGAAAGCCCTTTTTTTTTTTGTTTAAAATGGAACCAAACTTAATATATTTTGCAAATGGCTTTTTATAAATGCCACAAATCAGTGTAGTAAAGTATTGCAGATCATGCTGCTATTAAACAGTATTTTTATTTTTTAGATCAAATCTGTAATAGATTCAAAAAGCTCATAACAAGAGTAAACTAATTGATTTCTTATTGCTTGTTTTTGAGAAAAATATGCTTTCTTCTGTGAGCTAATAAAGTAAAAAGGCACCAGGATGATATTCACAGTCATTGGAATACCAGAAGCTTTTTCCTGCTTTGCTGTAGTCCTCAAATTTCTATTATGAAGACCATGAACATGTGCAATATATTTCAGTAATGCTTTTGACTAATGCACACAGTTCTACAATTTGGGCATTTTTGGTTTGCTAGAGAAGAGGATGTGTGGCGAAAGAGAGATTCTAGGTAGTAAACTTCTGTGTGGTTGGAATCATCTGGAGAGAACTGGCGAATGAAATTCAGAATCATGAGCTTACCAAAAGAATTCTGGTACAATAAATGACAATTACAAGAGCAAAGGGGAGAGTTTTATGTTCTATTTTTTTAACTTGTTAATTTCTTTCCTTGCTTATATCAGCCCGCTGCAAATTGCCAAAGAATATTTACAGTGCCCACCCTGATTTTGGTCATTCCTTGTCACATTTGACACCATTAGTTTCTGTAATTTGGGCCAGAATTTAACAATGAGTTAGCTGTGCCAAAAACACTGTGCATATCCACAATTTACTCTTTTTGAATGTATGTCATTGCAGTAAGCTTCCCCTTCCCTCTGTTGTCTTGTGAGAAGATATAGCAGTGACATTATGTATATCTTTGGATACCTGTAAATAATATGTAAAGCAAGTTTTTATGATGAAGAAATTCTTGGATTTCATTACTGAGAGTAAAATCTGAACCTGTAAAACAAATAAATTTATCTTTCTACAGGCAGTGATGGTGTACGGATATGTGTATTGGTTCTGCATACAAAAGTCTCTCTGACTATGCTTATCAGTGTATAATATGTAAGAGAAGACATGTTGGTCTGTTCAAACAGCCATCAGGATTTGATGCACGGTTTGAGGTTGGATTGAACTTGATGTATTCACTCAGTCAGGATAGCTCTCTCTCTCAGGGTACCTACTACATTGATAAAATGGCAATAGAATCTAGGCTAATGGTTAGTGCAAGCCATAAAATAGAAGCAATTTACAATTTTTAAAATTATGTAGCTAGTTATGAAAGTCAATAAGCTGTTTCTGGAATTTCCATGCTCCCCTTTTCCAAGTTGGCAATTGTTGCCACAATAGTGCTGGTAGTACTAGCTAGCAACGTCAGTGCACCATTATATCTTAAATACTAGATCAGGTTACTAATAAACATAAGAAATGCTATCCCTTATTTGCTATTACCTTTTCACTCTTCTAATTTTAATGAATTTGTTTTGGAGGTTTGTGTTGCAACAAAAATGGTAACTAGATCTTTTTTGTGGGTTATATGACTTCTGGCTTTATGGTATGGGATACTTTTAATGCTGCCTTTACTGATTATTGTAATTCAAGGGGGAAACTTCAATTTTCTAAAAATGTTCTGATTGCACTGGAAGATGTACCAATTTTTGCTTATTCTAAACTTGCTAAAAATGCACAAAAATGCCTTTTAACTTTTTGATTGCGGAATCAAAGAAGCCAGCACATTTTCTGCTGCAAAACACAAAAGCATCAACATTAAAAGAATAACAGAGCCACCAGTATCACCCTAAGGGTTCAGTATTTCTGAAGCAGCAAAGAGCATTGTGGGTGTTGTTAAGATCTGACATGGCAAGAATAGAGCCAATAATTTATCTGCATCCTCTTTGTGGAGATAGTCTGCAGATTCATGTCAAGGACTACTATGGTGACAAACGATGTCTCAAAACATAACAGTGGTGCACCACTGAGGCTTACTTCCTGCGAAGGATCACCAGTGTTCAGTCCCATAGTGAAGCTGGCATCAACCCCGTACTTTACAAAAAGAATAAAAGTGCTGCTGGTGTTGCTTTGCCACATACCAGTATTTAAGCCTTGATGTCCTTAGGGATAGTTTGTGCTTAGTAATTATGCTTTGGCTTCTGCAATTGTGATTTGTAAGAAGGCAGGCAGACATGTGTTAGGCAGCTAATAAATTGTGCTTCCTGAAGACCAAGCATCTCCCTTCAAAGGAAGTCATAATTGTGGATGTTGAAAGTGATACTTGAACTATGCTGGTGGAATACTAGGCTGGAGGTGGGAAAGGGATGGTTTGGGTGCGTCAGGTGACAGAGTGACAATTATGAAGGGTGAATTATGTTTGTGGTTTAAGTTGATATTGTAACTTTAAACCAACAAATAAGGTTCAGGGAAGCCAGGTGTTTACTTTTTACTCACAGGGAGTCTGAAGTTTTGCTTCGTAAAACTAATGTATAAAAAGAGCATAAAGGTTGCTGAGTGACTGAAAAATGCACACCTTACAATTATTTAATTCATCAGCTACTCTTTGCCTTGAATAATCATTTGGGGAATCCACATGTGTCATGATTCCACTATATAGTAGCCTTACTTCAGTTAAACACAGAAAGAAGTCGGGGTGAGCTGAAGCAAATGACAAGGTTTGGTTTCATGAGACAAGGCAGCATCAGCTTTCTCTGTGTTAAAAGATCAGTGCCAGCGCCTTACACTGGAATTGAAGGCAAATAAGGCAGCCAGTGTTCATTTTCCACAGTGCTACACTGCCTTATTTCTAGCAAAGCACAATACTTTTTTTTTTGGTTAGTAAAATGTTTCTCATATGAGTAGAAGGCATTTTATAGTCATATTGTACTTTGATGTATACTTGGTTTTAAACTGCAGCATGGGAATCTTTACCCCCCCCCCCCCGAGGGTCAAATTCCTTCAGGGGAAAGAAATAGGGGAATGCATAGTGGATGCTGGTGGGGCCAAAGCTGGTGTGCAGGCCACATGCATATTACACAACACACACACACACACACACACACACACACACACACACACTGTGCCAAGAAAGGTGCACAAGGAGGAAGCCAAGCTGAGAAAAGCTTGTGCTGCAGCAACAGATCAGACTGGCAGAGTAGGGCTTAGCTCCATACTAACAGGTAGTTGTGGGGGGGGGGGGTTGTCTCTGCAGCCGATATAGAACCTGGAGAAGCAGAGATAATACACTCTGCTTTGTCAGCTGGCCATGGAGGAAAGATCACTGTCAGGTTGCTGAAATCGTGGAGAGAGTGACACTGGGATAGGTGAAGAGAGCAGTGACTTAGTGTAGGGGAAGATGTGTAGCCCATTACATAGAAATTGGTGTTCCCACGCAGCTTTGTCTTGCTCTCATTTTGATGCAACAGAAGAGGTGTTGGCTTTCTCGGCTCATATTTTGAAACACATTTCCTGTATTTTCCATAGCAATTTGGAAACTAGCAGAGGCTTCTTACTTTGTTTCATCAGAATACTTTCATCTGCCTTTACGTAAAAGAATGCCCAAGGCAGCTAGCAATAATAAAATACATCAAAATAAAAACAGGGAACAATAAAAGAGTATGAAGTGTGCAAAAAAAAAAAAAAGCAGCTTAATAAAAGGAATAATGGAAGAAGCAAGGACCAGGAAGGTTTGGCTGGG